GGAGAGAATAATCGTGTGCAAGGGCAAGGCCATGGTAATCAAATTAATGGGATGAAGGCAGCAGGCAACTTGCTTTATACTGCTGGCATCGACGACACTTTGAGATCGATCGATATTGCGACAAACGCGTATGCAGAAACCTCTGTGGTAAAATTGGATTCGCAGCCGCGTGGTCTGGATATATATAACGATATAGCTGTGGTGGCGTCGGTTCGACAGGTACGTTAACTGCAGAGCATTCGCGAGATTTCACAAACTTGATAAATTTAAATATATTTACAAAAACGAGAAAGTGGGCATCTCGCGTATATAAATTTTTCATTTGTGCAACAATTATACGAGTGTCATGCTTTACAGATTGCAGTTACGCAAAACGATAAAAAGCTATCGAGTGTATCAATTAATTACGAGCCGTCGTGTGTGTCAATTAATCAAGGAACCAGTGATGTTGCTGTTGGATCCACATCCGACAATAAAGTTGGTCTCATTCGTGTAGTAAATATAAAACTTGGTTTCGGGGCTATTATCAATTTATACTGTTTACTGCGCAGGTTTATATTTATGAATTATCAGACACTACATTGACTCAAAAGACTGAACTAGAGCACCTGGGCCCTGTTACGGACGTCTCTTATAGCCCCGATAACAAGTATTTAGTCGCCTGTGATGCAAACAGAAAAGTTATACTGTACGCTGTACCAGAATATAAGGTAAAGTATCTCACAAAATAATTTCGAATTATTTTTGCATTGCAAAAAGTTTTGTATTCTTAAGTTCATATCGCAATGTGATAATGAGAGGCAATAATCTTCATAAATTCTTGCTCTTATAAAAAAAAAAACCATACATTTATCAAATTAGATTAAATTTAATACTCGTAATATTTTCAAAATAATTATATGTAAGTTTTCTTTAACGATTAATTATTGTTAATGACTTATTGTTATATGCTTATTGGATGATCAGAGGGTGAGTAATATAACTGAATATCTGTATTATCAACACAGTTGTAAAAGAATATAAATTTTAAATATGATCTAAAATGTATTGATTTGGCTTGCAGCTTGCACATAATAGAGAATGGGGCTTCCATAATGCAAGAGTGAACTCTGTAGCATGGTCTCCAAATTCTGACATGGTCGCGAGCGGCAGTCTTGATACGACCATCATCATCTGGAGTGTGACAAATCCGGCGAAACACACCATCATCAAAAGTAAGTGCAGCAAATCTTCTGCAAACGAACTGCAATGAATAAACGTAAAAATTCACGTTTTAGACGCTCATCCTCAGAGTCAAATAACCCGCTTAGTCTGGCTGGACGAAGAGACCCTAATCTCAGTTGGACAGGACTGCAATACTAAAATATGGCGTATAGAAAAGATATAATTAACTTTTGGATGAATTTATTGCCATTTTTAAGGAAACTGCACTTTTGAAACATTTTATTTATTTCGTAGTTTATGGATATTGTATATTATTTTTTAATACAATTCTTGATATATGATTAAAAAGATTATATTGCAATCTTTTACATCTTTTGCATTGATTTTCCTAGGTGTTCGGTCTATATATTTCACTGAGCTACAACAATGATTCCAGATGTAGAGACATATTCATACTGAAAATTATACAACTCGTCTAGTCATTAAACTTGTCTTTATTAAAACGATGTAACAATAACAAGAAAACGATAACAATTCGAACACTAAGGGGCTTCAGGAACATGATCACACTTTACTTTGTCGTTTTGTACACTTAACGAAGTAAGATGTTACGTCTTATCATTAATCAGTCCAGAGCTGCTCTTACGGATAATTGAGGTACCATTAGTTTTGTTTTGCTAAGTTATTCCCTAATTCAACGTATCTAATATGTCAAAACGGGTTTATTTTTATATATTTGATATATTTACTTTTACATATTTAATATGTATATTTAATAAAATATTTGGTTTCTTTTTTCATCTTTTTCTTTCTAATTGTACGAAAAATTTACATTTTTGGTAAAGAGAGAGAGAAATAGCCTAGCGAGGGTTAAAGTATCTATAGTAACACAATAGTGACTTCACCATCACAGTGGTGGCTTTGACGTACTATAACGTGGACGTTTTTGCGAAGAAGCCACTGGATGCCTGTACGATACATGTTTCCTGAGCGCGTCTCGCGATCGTGACACGTGTGAACACGCTGTGCAGCTGTACGAACTATTGCTATGTGTTTCCATGTGCACCCGCAAGTTGTACTGATTGCTCAGCTGTTTACCACAAATGAGACAGGTGACACTAGATTTGTTGTAAGTCTGGGATGTCTTGCCGGATCCGAATGCCGTGAGCAACTTGAAGTTCGTGTCCCATGCAGCTGGCGGTGATTTTATATCCTCTACAGGCGTTATTGGTTCCTCGACTACAGACGCAGTTTCGTCCACTACATTCTCCGAGTATCCCTTATCGATATACTTATTAGCAGACACATTAACAGGAACAGTTTTCTCTCTTTGGTTTAGTTTCGCGTTTATAGAGTAATAAGGTTTCGTCTTCACACAATACGGTATACTTTCTTGATCGTTGCAAGGCTCTTCGTCGTCTAAATTATCCATCACTTCCGGCAGCGGCGCTGACATTGATTCTGACGATTCTGTGGTCACTGAATTATCTTTCGGCTCGATCTTTACTGTCTCTTCATTCAATGTTTTCTTCTGATGTTGCATTACAGTCGATGGCTGTATATATTGGCCGTTGTCATGTCTGGAATTTCTCTGAAAAATAACAAGATCGTGTAAATTATTTCAAACAATTATCACGGTTCCCCAACCAAAACAAACATTTTAAAAAAATTGTGATTTAGAAAGTGCGACGTCATATATTTTCTCGTCCATGTGTTTAAACTAAAAGTATTGCAATTTAAAAGTTACAACACATAATAAATTGTTGCAATTAACACAAGAGTGTAAGTCGCTTTCATCTTTCGATATTCACAATGAATGCATTTTATCTAGCTTCTATAGAACATATATGTGTGAATATTAATGACATACAACAATATAAACGTATTCTTCAAAGTTCAATAAAATAGATCGTGTAAAAATGTATTCCATAATACACAACAGATTATGCATTGCACATTTGTTATTTATTTTGCGCAATCATCTTCGTTTAAATAGATATGTGAAAAATATTACTTAAGGATATTTAGCATGATAACTTTTCAAATTTATAAGAGTACAAATTTTCCTAATAAAATATTTTCTTATTAAAAAAAATTTATTCAAAGATTATTAAGTTTTTAACAGTTTAGTACATTAAGGACCACAATTGTTGTCTATTTCAGAAATTTTACTTCATTTGTTCATTTCCATGCATGTTTTTCTTCCTTTTCCTTAGCTAATAATATTTTTGGACTCGATAAATTAATCTAGAGACATTTGTTATCATCACACTTGACTAAACTGTTAAGCATTATTGTATTGCAAAAAAAAAACATGTGTATTGTATGAGATCGCCGTTCTAACCTTGCTAATAAACAGTTTTAGTAATTTAGAGATTCGTGGAAGAAGCTATTTTAGATATACCTGTAAAGTCATTCTATGGGGTAAGGTTCCATGGGATGCATCCACTTGCATTTAGTTGCAACACACACAACGATCTTGATCTCGTGGATATCGTTTTTATTCATTATCGTTCCTTCGACGCATGTATGAATATAATATGTGTAGCGGTATAATTCCTTCGGGAAGTACTTCTTGAGGAACGACAGTGAATGTATTTAAGTGACCTGAACAAAACAACACGATCATAGGACAATATAAAAAGATTAAGAGAGGAACAAGCGAATGCGAATTTTGCTTCGTTTTTCATTCTGCTGAATAAATAAGGAAGAAATTAATTATCTAGGATTTTTGTGGAAATATTTGCGACGATACATTTGTAATAATTTTATGATCTTTAAAGTAGGCATCAGGCATGCATGTTATAAGGATATCAATTTATGACATGTAAGTACTGTAGTACATCGAGAATTCTTTATAATTATATTTATAGGCAAATCAAATTCTATTTAACGAATAATAACAAAAATACAGCATGTACTGCTATAAGTAGTGGATTATAGATATCCTAATCTATAATATGCAATATTACTAGTGTCTAATAAAAAATTTAATTCTTTCTGTTTAATTATTTCTATTAAAAATTTTCTTATTATTATTCAATAATTCATAAAAAATTGTTCAGTATCATACTGATATATTTCCAAAGAAGCAACATTGTTCATTAACTAATGAGTACATAGATGCTATCAAATATTACAATGCATAAACAGTTGTATATCGTGATATTAATGTTAATTAAAAAAAAAAATGCATTGTGATTTAAAGTGGCACAATTTGTTAATCAAAATGTTGCTTAAGATTTGTATTTATGGCTGTACATATATTATATGCTGGATATATTGTTGGGAGTGTCCATAGTTATTTTGTATGAACAAAAAGTAAAATGTTTAGTATATAGTCATATAGAATAGTGAAAACTGTTATTGGGAATTATATCTCTGTAACGGCACTTAAAAAATACATGCTCAGTTATAAGCCATTAAAAATTTTTGCTCGAGAACAAGCATATGAAAAAAATTATATATTATTCATGCTAATTACCTTAAGTACTAAAATAGCACGCCATTAATATCACAGTTTTTATGCCTATTGTATAATACAGTACAATGTAATACAATTGTTACATTTATGAATATTACTTATTTCCAGTTGCACAATTATAGCAAGCTTGCAGATATATTTGACCTGACTTTGAAATCTGATAATAATAATAACAAAACGTCTCATATCTCTATATTTCTCAATATTTCAAATACAGGTCATTATTGTATATATTTGGGAATTAACGCACAAAATAGAAATTAGTATGTAATATGCAAATTTTTATAATTAACAAATAGAATATTTAATCTTTTACTATTGTTATATAAAATATAAATCTAAAAAATTTAATACAAGAACCTTTCATAAACCACTTTATATGACGCCAGAAGTGCTAATGCAAATAATTGCACTTTGATGAAGAAGAAAATATAACACATACATAAAATACAACAAAAATATAGAAAAATGTTGCGTAATTCTTTTTACAAGCAATATAAACTTACCATTTCATATAGTTTAAATATAATAATTCCTATAATTTCTTATTATTTTGCATAAAAATAAAATAACACTTACCCCAGCTATATTAGCTAATCCACAGATATGTAATGTATCAGCCATAGCTAAAAGCGCAGGTAATTGTTCCTGGTAAATATTCACTTCTCCATTATACATAAATTTGACTAGAGCACACAAATTTGCATATTCCATGCCTGGTAACACAATGACAGGATGTTGCAAAGAACTTAAATCCTAAAATACATTTATAAAGTTATGTATAAAGTTTTATACTGTTAGTATAAGTAAGTATAAACTATTTATAAGCAATATTGATTTTACGTTGCAGTATTAATTTAGAAAAACAATTGTATTTTTCCACATCTTACACAAATGATAAAATTAACAATCCCAAATTTTTATTACTACAATATTAAGCATTGTAATGTATAAGAAGATAAGTAGGCAAGCAATACAAAAAATATTATATTAGAAATCAAATCATTAAAAGTGTTTAAGAAACTTATGTGCCCATTATATTGTCAACAAATCAATATATCACATGTATTAATTGATAGAATATAAAAATTTATATATATAAAGAGCTTTCATAAATACCTTAAATAGTTCTTTAAAATAATAACTACAAGCTGAGAGTATAATTCTATGAGCATGAATATGTCTCCCGCCAGCACTCAGTGTGACATCAGTTAAGTAACCACCATCGAGCAATTTTGGAAGAGAGCTCAAAAGTGTATTTTGGAAGTTGTGCCATCGTAAACAAAACTGTTGGCTCTCCATATCGATTTACTGCAAAAATAATCCCATATTGAGATATCACATTTTTACATTCGATAGATTGCTGATTACGCAAAAAAAAACACACACACACAAGATAACAATTTCTATTGTACGTAATTAAACTTGCATTAACAAAGAGATACAATTAAATGCAAAGCTGTTCTTTGGAATAAAAAAAATTGCTATTGCGAGAAATAATACCTCGCGTACGATATATGCTCAGTCACTCTATATTCGCTTACACGCAGTTAATAACATCAAACGAATCTCGTTGTCTGCATATATCACGCAAGTAACAATTTAATCTTTTCGCAATAATGCAGGGTGAAAGGTTATGTGCTTGGGAGCCACGAAAATTAGGATAAAAAATGGTTTATTTACGTCGAGAAAAAATCCACTGTACGCGATCGCGATGTAGAAATGCCACTGGTGGAGCCACTTCGAGACACAATACCACTTATTTAATCAAGCTGCAGGTTCCAGCCAAATCTATTATTGTACTCAGGTATGGCTGGAGGAAAGGACAGTCATTGTGACCCCGTGATTTATGAACGTAATAGCCGGAGCACTAATTCGGGACCATCGACTCGTGACGAGAAATGGGCAAGGAGTCGAATTCGCGTCTGTCGTTCCTTACCTCGTGATAATTGCCGTTTTCACTCTGTAAACGATTATTCTTTGCACAACACTGCTCTCTTTCGTCTGACGATCGCCATAATCACGAGTGTCATGAACCATGCAACTATAAGTAGAATGTTCCAAGCAGTGACGCCAGATTTGAGACGCAAGCAGCAAGCAGATGAGAGAGGGAATACGCACGCATGCGCAATCCATGTACGTACATGCGAGCTCCGCGCTTCGGCTAGTTTCTAAAGACGTCCTAAAAAAGACATCCTAAAAACGTTCCTTATATTTATCATATATATAATATATGTATGTTATATTAAATATATATGTTAGACTTATGCTCTTTCGCAGGATGTAAAAGTCTCTCAATCGAAAGCATTTCTGAACAGTCGACTTAGGTCGTGCTGAGGAATTCTCAGTTGGTTTCTGAACGGCAACCAAACGAGCGATATGACATTATTTTTGTTTATTTACAATTAGTTTGCTGGTTTTTTCTAATTGCAATATTCATTGATATTCATCGAAAGAAATGAACAGGAAGCAATACAGAACGAATTTTTCGCGTCACACTCCTGTAAAGCTGACAGTTTTTAAAAATATATATTTTTGCATATGTTTTATGTATATTTACAGCAACAAAACTATTGAAAATCACACACACACACAAGTTCTTTCTTCGATTTTTCTAAATTTCTTATATAAAAAAATCTTCTGAACTTCTTAGAATAATAATAGAAATTGTCTTTTACCTTATATTAAATATTTTCTATATTGAAAAATAAAGATTTCTATATTTAAAAATAAAGATTTATTTATCTTAATGTTAATTTTATATTTTTACAGATAACATGTCTTACAAGAAACATACAGTACACACAGTATTGGGATATGGATCAATGGGTTTAAATTTTTATGTATTCTCATTTGGAAAAAATAAAGAGAGACTTGATAAATACCAATGTAAATCTTGATTTTTTAATATTATATTATATTATCTTATAATTGGTTGTATGAAAGGAAGGTCAACGCAAAAGAGATACGATCCATGCGTTTAGATATTGCTTTTACTATTGATTGTAAAAATGCATTTTTGCATATATAGTGATAAGGAATACTTTGCAAAGATAGATATAAGGAATAAAAATTAGAATTATTCAGTTTTGAGAATCTAAAAATAGCATTCTTCATATAACATTAAAGTTTACATATTTGACCTTTTCAGAATAGTTCCTGCGATGTTGCTAGATGGAGCAATAGTACTTTGATAAAAAAGCGGGCAATATTTTAGAGCAGTCCAGTGCAGTGGATAAAGATATCAAGAACATTGTGGAATACCAGTCTCATATATCCTGAATGTAATTTATTACAAGAGACAAGATCTGTATATTTTGTTATGAAAAATTAAGCATATTTATAAGGTGATACAAAGAATCTAAATATATTAAATTATTAAATGTGTTGTATATGTTTTTTACATATAATGGTATTTGTAGATAAAAATCTAATTAAAACAAGTATTTTATGCATTTATCACATTGATTGTGCATTAAATAAATTAATGTTAAACAATTTCATAAGCCTGTATATTTAAACTAGTTTCTTCTTGCAGATACACTGGAAACTCTTTTTAGTTTGCTTTATATAATTCATTAAATAAGAATAAATATTTAAAATAACATGCATTGGATTAAAATTTCATGTATTTTGTGCATGTTTGGATGTTTCAAAGATTTTCGACCTATTGAGCCTTTCATAACAGATTATTTTATCGGATATAAGAATTTTACAGCCAGCGAAGTTAGTTCATTTGACATATGCATTGATGAAATGTCCAATTAATTTTCTTGAATCATTAAATTTTCAAAAATTGTTTACTTTTCAGGTAAACCATGACATATATCCTATCATCACTTACAGCTACTTGTCGACACTTGTGTTTGTATTCTTAATTACTGATTTTGTAAGATACAAGCCTATTATCATACTCTGCGGTCTCTCCGGCATAATCGCTTTTCTCTTGCTAATACTTGAAGAGAATGTTCTGGTTATGCAAATTGCTGAATTATTTTTCGGACTGTTTCTATCTACAAAGGTTGCTTATTACACTTATATATACGCCAAGGTAGATAAGCAACATTATCAAGAGTTGACAAGTCATACTAAAGCGGCTTCTTTATTCGGCCACAGTGTATCTGGCATCGTGGCACAGTTGACAGCATCTTTCGAGTTACTAAATTATTATCAACTTAATTATCTAACTGTTTTAGGTATGTAAAATATGATTTAAAATATAAGTTACACATGCATAAATTAAATGCTCAGAGCGTTCAATATCATAAAATATTTAAGCATAGTTTGTATAAAATATTACAATAATAATTATCTAATCACACACATTCACGACAATTAATCTTCATGACAAAATTTGTAATAAATTTATAGTTGATTTTTCATCAAACATATCGAGAAAAATCCATTTAGCTTTATATAATTCATATAATGTTTAACATTTTTTGCAGCTATTACTGTTGCGACGATCTGGTCGCTTTTCCTGCCTCCTGTAGATCGATCGATTTACTTCCATCATGTGGATAATTTTTCCAACGACAATGAAAATCCTGCTACCCTCATTCAAGAAATGAAAGAGATGATTAATCAATCACAACCTTCAAGCGATTTGCCAGAATTGTGTGACAACAAAAACAGCAAAACAAAACGTTCAATTCTTTCGAAAATAAAAAACGCGTATAAGCTGCTGTGGAAACATTTCTTACAAGCTTATACTAATTATCACGTAATTAAATGGTCAGCTTGGTGGGCTTTATCTACTTGTGGCTACGTCTTAGTTGAAATATACTCGCAATTGCTGTGGCAAACTGCCGTAAAAACTGGCGATAAAATATATAATGGTGCTGTAGACTTTGCGTACGCGATAATAGGTAAGAAAAAATTTCATCTATTTTTCATGCGACATTGTATTTTGTTAGACATTGCGAAAATACTGCTAATGCACCTATTTCGACACTGTCGATGGCTCTCAGCCATTGCGGATTAGCAACATTGAATTTATCAATACACAAATACATTTATAATTGATCAGTGTTTCAATTTTATCAATTATTTTTAGTATCAGTATTTTTATTATTTAGTATTTATATGCAAAAAGCGTGACTGACAATGAGTACGCAGAATAATATCACAGTTCCAATTTACGTGAATCAGAGAATGCAATAGTTAAGCGTTGAGCGCGAACCGCAAAGTATTAAAGATTGATAGTAATCTATAACTTGTCAATTTTGATAAATAATTTTTTCTTCTATTCGGGATTGGAATCTCTTCAATCTACTATAAATAAAAAAATATTTTGTTTATTCAATTTATTTGTTAAAATTAATTTGATAGAAAGCACGTTTATTTGTTTATTTGAATATTTTTTCACCAGGTGCAATGAGTGTATTTGCTGTAGGAAAAATACGATTAAACTGGATACTAGTGGGAGATATAATGTGTTCTGTATTTGCGTTTTTAGGAGGTGCTATACTGTTAGCATCTTCTTATATCTACAACATTTGGTTCTTGTATATCGGATATGTCGTATTCGGCATAATTTACCATACCATGGTGACTGTTGCAAGGTGAATTCTCCATACAATTAGTGTATAAAAAGTACTTAAGAAAAATAGTATTAATAGTATTACTTTTAAATAAATTAAAATTTAAGAATTTATGAGGGGAAATGATTCTAAATTTTAACCACATCATTACATGCACAAGTCTTTTTCACACTTTGCTATTGACTGGAAACAAATGTTTGATTTAAATTAGTTATAACGACGACATAAATAAATAAAAATTAAATTTGCTTTTACTTATTTTTAGCTTTGAGGTCGCCAAACGTATATCTCAAGATAGTCACGGCTTGATTTTTGGGGTGAACATGTTTCTCGCATTATTGATGCAGAGTTTGATACTCGTAATTGTCAACATGCTCATGCTAGATATCAGGCAGCAGGTAAAGATTATGACAATACGTTGAGATTGCACAATTAATTATTCAATAACACTGAAGTCTTTGCTTTTTAGTACTGCATTTATAGTGGCTATCATCTGGTTTTGGGTGTGATATATATTGTGCTGGCTGTGATCACCATCAAGAAACATCGTCGAAATACGACTCAAATTAGATGGACTTCCTAATAATAACATAATTCCTAACAAAAATATTCCAGTATATACGAACATATCCCGTTATCCAATAATATATTTTATTATTATTAAATATTTATAAGTATGAAATTCTCTCAGAAATAATATTTAAGAAAAAGTTTCAGTAAATTAAATTTGCGTCGAAAAATAATAAGAATTGTTGTGCAATAAATTATTTAATAATTATGTATTATTGAGGATTTGACAAATAAAGAAGACATCAAGAAATAGAAATAATCTATTATACATGTTTGAAGAATCTGTTATAGAATTATTCGTCTCAACTATTATTACACATAATATCACTAAGATTATTATTGTAGTATCGATTTTATTATTCATATATAGTTATACAGAAAAATCACGCTTATAACTGTAAAATCGCTTAATCTTCAAACACGATTGCGTCGGACTTTCCTTGATAGCGCGATTTTAAATGCGATCACGTTGTTACGCTACAAATCGCACTCATCTAATATACAGTAATTTCAAAGGATTTCTCAATTATATCACAGAAATACAGACTTTGAATTCCACTGACAATCTGAAGACATCAATTACAAAACCGTGTTCGTAAAGTGTGATTGAAAAATTTGTAGAAATCCACGTAAAAACCTGTGCGTAAACGCTAATTAGAAACGATCGACGGTTTTAAAGAAAATTACCTCGGACCAATTTCTCCAAAAGAGAAATAAATCAATACTTTATGTTCCTCCGAGCAATACGAACGTATGTATATATACGGCCTTGTCATCTATCTCAATTTTTTATGTATATACATTTTTGGTAACTTCTGTTTTATAACACTTAGACTAATGTAAGAGTTAATATTGTGATTATAAAATGAAACTTGCATCCACAGCACTTACAACAATTAATAATAATAAACAACTCGATGCTTATTGCCCCAAGTTTATAACAATTAACACAGCAGAAAAAGAAAATTAAATATTAGTACACATATTATACATATAAATAAAATATCTCGAAAACTAATATATATATATATATATATATATAACAATCTGTGACTAGAGAATAACATACTATTATCACACGCAAGCAATGTTGTATGTTAATATATTTCTACGAATTCTAAAGTACACTTTAAAAAATGAATACTCGATAAAACGCGATAATGTCGCGGATTAAGAAAACGAGATATTTCTTTACAATATCTCAGGAAATATGATAACTCGTTAACGTTAGTTATGTTAGGCACAAATATTTCTATACTACTATAAGTAGCATATTAATTTTAAATCGTGTTTATAATGCTCAAAATGTTTATTAGTTACTAAATTGAAAATTTGATTTTTTCAATCATTTTTTCACTTTTAAAAGTCTCACTATCGTGAGATAAAAATTCGCAACTTTGCACCATAGTAGAAGTTTTAGGGCCATCTTCGGGCCGTGTAGCATCTAGAGAAATAATTAAAAATCACTTTCTTCGATACTAAACAATTTTAAACCTTTTTTTTGGTGCAAAGTCAACCCTGTCTTAGAGTAAATCTGATGCAATCTTAGACTCAAAATTAGAGCTTTACTTAATATTGAATACGCGAAGAGTATCTTATACAAAATCGGAAAACTCGTAAACTCTGCATCTCATGGTGCAGAATCGAATCTCCGACTGAAAAAGACGCGAATTATTTGGCTTATAAAAAATTTAGAATAGGAGATGCAAAAGAGAGTGACGAAAAACACGTCACATTCGCAAGATAGTGCGCGATTCAACTCGAGTATCTGTAAATGCCGTTTACGTCTAGAAACCAATATAAAATCCGTGTATTCGATATGACTATCTACATGTACGTGAATACGTTGAACTATTCTGTAATATCCGATATTTAGACCAACGCTTTCGCTATCCGTAATCTCAAAGATTGTCCATAAATTTTCGTAAACTTGTACTTGTTGCTTTGCATCAGGTATCTGGATCGTTACGAGTATATTACACGCGCTATATCGTCGAAAACGTTCGGAAATCTTTCGATTCATAGATTCGCTTGTAGATACTGCGAACTATCCGAACTAATAAGATCGAAGTTAATAGCGATTTTTAGATATGTATCGCTCGCGGGCAAAGCTATGGCAATGCGCGTTATTGTAAAAATTCTCTAAGCATATCTTCACACACGAGTAATTTCAATTTCAGAATCGTTTGAAACGAATATTTCGCGAATTCAATAACAATTATTAGCGATCATGGTTGCTTTTTTTCAGTCCTTAGACGGTATCCTTTGGCGGCATAATCGTCATTAAGTCTCTTATTTGTATGTTTCTAATTGGTCCGCAGATACCGATCGACTTTCGCGTTCCTTTCGATTATTCGAAAGAGAACGAATTTTATTGCGTTAAAATCGCCGAATCTTAAATGTCTCTAACTTACCGCAGAATAAAATTGCTTATCGGAAATTGCCGACACGTGCGTGTAATAATCCCCATTTTTTTTTTTCTCTCTCTCGTGTTGCAATACGGTGCGTAAGATGCGATTACTATTGTGGTCCTTCTCCATAAAGTAGAGTGAGTATAGCATTTCTAAGAACGAAATTCGGAGTAAAGGAAGTGTCGTGCAGCGGCTCATTCGTCATCGGGCTGGTGTACTTTCCGCACAGGAACCATTCGTTTATAGCTGCCCTTTCATAAGTAAATCCATCTGGAAATAATCGGTAATTTGATTTATTGAGATTTTGAAATATTTTTTTTGATAAAAAACGATTTATTACGACATTTTTACCTGAGCACTGCACAGGTTCTTTCATTATCTCGTGCGTTATAGGACACAAGAATTCATGAGGAATCTCCGACTCGTCTATATTCTCTGTAATATTACAATCTTCGCGCTTGAGCCAATATAATTGCTTTTTCAGTATCTCCGCCGCCTACAAAGACCATTGCAAATTGTGAATTCGATGTAATAAATCAAATGTGATCATTTTAAAACATTGTACACTGTACCTCTTCGTCATCTTCGATTTCTAGCCGGGATATCAACTCATTTTCTGATATGGATAGCAAATGTCGTCCGGTCAGTCCCAGAGGAAGCGCTTTCCTGATTAGTCTGGATAGTTCAATATCGTTCAGCCATTTCAATGTGTCATGCATCTTCCAATCTGCAACCTGAGTAACAAAATATTATCATCAAATATCTTTCAGACTTTATATATTTTTGTAAAAAACCAACTTTGTCTATTACTAACCCTCTTCTTTTTGTTCCTCAAGCTGTCCATTAAATTGCTTTGTGACACAAGTTGCTGAGGCACTTTCCAAACCAAAACAGTCTTGTCCAAAGCGCCTAAAAAAATTATCGTCATGATAAAATATTTTCACACAATTTTAATTGCATATCTTTGATGTGAAATCTGAAGATGACCGAATAAATTTTAAATCAACTTTTTAGCTCAAGATAAAATTTAAAAAGCTAGAAACCAAGAATTGCTAATAACGAATAGAATATAACTTGATCATTGATCTATAAATTTATCGTGCAATAGCTGGGACAAATTTGGAAAGGAAATTTCAAGAACCTGTCGCGAAGAGAGACGTGTCCTCGGAAAATGCGCAAGACGTGACGAGACTGTCGTGATCCTCCATGACATATAGACAGCTTCCAGAAAACTGAAAGATATATTAATTCTCGTGAAAGAAACCTTCTCGCATTTCTTATCAAGCGCTATTGTTCTTCATCGCTCACCACGCTCCATATGCGAGCTGTTCTGTCCGTCGCGACGCTACCTAGAACTTCTCCGTGAATAGGTGAGAAGCGGACGCACATCACGTTCCCACCATGCCCGGCTAAGGACTTCTTTTCCTTGTAACGCGTTCTGACATCACTCGATCCGATGCTGTCCGAATCGGATAGTGATTTGTTCGAAATTATTATGTGCCATAATTTAACCAACGAGTCGTTGCCGCACGTTGCCAATAGATATACCTGCTCGTCGACATTCATCTCTGTGTCTCTTGCTGCAAACCATTGATTATTTAATCATGTTTTTTGTTAAGTAATAGCGAGAAATTTTTTGTAAATTATCGTTATAAGATAATAATTAGATGAGTTTTCTTTTACACGCACTGCACATTAAGGAGCCTGGAGTAGGGCTGAAATCGCATCCCTGGACACCAAGATCGTGACTCGCTTCGCAAACCAGCAATGCTTCTTCGCTCTTTTCGTCTAGAGTGTCAAACAGGCGCCAGGTGCCCTCGTTGCAGGCGGTTACAAGATAGCGGGAATCGTGCGTAAACGCGATGGCCGTTATCGCGTCGGAGTGGCCCTCGAAAACGCTGTAATATTCTCTAAGATTATTAAGTAAATATAGGAACTTAAATTATAAATTAGTTACAAAAATTGCATAAATTTTGTCATTAGATTTCTTATATAGAATTATTACACTTAAAATAATTCTATACGTGGATTATACTTATATTTCTGATTTTTAAAATGTGACTTTCAACATATCTTCCGAGTCGATATTTTCTTTTTTCCTCCTTTGTCAGAAGTTATATATATATCAGTATTGATTTCTAGCCAATTGTCAATTATACATACTGTAATTGATCCATAGATTCCACATCCCACAATGTGGTCTTCTCGTCGTCACCAGCAGTGGCAATTTTTGCGCCGTCCGGTGTCCACCGGCATACGCGGATGCCCGTTCCAGAATTGACAAAAGAGGATTTTGCTTGTCCACCGTTCTATAAAAAAAAAAAAAAAAAAAAATTGCCATAAACAAGAAGCTAAAGAAAGATAATTATCGCAATGATGCAATAGTTACTTCTGTGTTCCAAACCAAAGTCGTCCCATCAAGAGAACAGGAGGCGAGCATCGAACCGCACGGACTGAATTCCACGTAATTGACGCTGTAGGTGTGAGCGTCAAGCGGACTGAATGGTTTCTCGTGTATTTTAATCACCTCTTCACCATCTTCCTCTTCCGTCTCCACGCTCCACATGCGCACTAGTTTGTCACTAAAAATGACAAGAAATTTCATAATTGTGTCCGCTAGCTTCACAATTTTGATGACTCACCCCGATGCCGAGGCTAGAAAATTATTTCCATGGAAGGCAACGCTGTTCACCGCCCCGCTGTGTTCCTCCAGTCTTTGGATCAATTTCACTTCGTTAGCATACGTTTCGACGTTCCTCATCACATCCTGTTCGTGCATAGTGCTCTACAATACAGAATATAGTTAAGTCTTTTGCGAGTTATATTACTCATAATCAGTTTTTACCTTTTCAGGATCATTCACGAACCACTTTGTACCAAAGTTTCTGGAAAGTTCCGAATCGACAGTTAGATTGCCCGCCAAATCCCACACGATCGTTGACTTATCGTTCGAACCTACAATTAAGGATTAATTACCTCGCGAAAAAAAAAGGTTATGAATTTTTTTCGGAAAAAAAAATAATCACCTGTCGCTAATAAACTTCCGTCGCGCGAGAAGGCGCAGCAAGCGACATATCTATTGTGGCCAGAGATTATCGTTACAACCTTTCCTGAGCTCTATAAAATTAGATTTCATAAAGATTAGTAAAAGATTAAAGTGAAGAGAGAATCAAGCTTGAGATTTCAGATATTTCCTATCAAACCTTACCGTCTCCCAAATTACTGCCGTTTTGTCGAGGCCACAGCTGGCGATATATAATCCGTTGCTGCTGAAACGGACGCAAGTTAAGGCACTACTGTGCTTTTCCATCACTCTGCAAAGCTCTACAGTGGCAGTAGAGGGTTGGGCCTCGCACTTGTTCTGGCTCACCGTGACTTCCCACAATTTTACATCGTGATCGTTGCCGCACGAAACCAGCTGATAAAGCTTGGTGTACGGCTCGTTGCCTGCAATAACAATTGTCGCATTGCCTCTCGTGTAAATTTTTACGCTCGCATAAGTGTCTTTTGCGACGTTTACGTACACGTGACTTCTTGGAAAGTGGAGAAGTCGCAGCAAACCACTCCCATATCGTGAGCATCATCGATCGAGGCGAGTTCGGTGATATCCTGATTGCTGGAGGTACAACTGTCAATCAGGTCGGCAGTGGAGAACAGCTTTAGGACACCCAATGTGCAGGATGTAATCAGCCAGTTGGAGTCCGGCGAGAAGGACAGGCTCTGCACGGCGCCCTCGTGTTTTTGAAAACATCTACAAGCCGAGATAGCGTGCCCCGTGACAATTTAATTCAAATTAAAATTAGGAGATATTAAAAAATAATTAGCATTACTTTGCAAGCAAGCTTGAACTTGCGTACACTCTTCGTTAAATTGTTTAAGAACGGAGATACATTGTGTAAAATGTCTTGCCTGATTAAATTGCGATGGACCAAATCCCAAATGCAGACTTGCCCGTTATCTCCAGCGGTCGCGAGTAACGTCGAGTCCGGCGAGAACCTGCAGACTCTCACCGCTTCGCCGCCCACTTGCACCATAGTGTGTATCTTCGTCCCCGTCTTCGCAAATAAAATAAATTCGTATTGACGCACGATAATTTGTGTATACGATTTGTACATTATGAAAGCGTATTTTGCGACCTTTTACGTCAATCGTAAATTCTTTAACACATTACATTCTCTTTATCGTTCTGCAATAAGTAGTCTATAACTTGCTATAGCGTTCCCCAACTTCTACATATAAAAAATTCACCCGAGCATAACATTAATTTTTGAAGGAGAAAAAAAGTTTGGCCATTATACCCGGGAGTTCATTGTATTTTTTTATATTTTTGAAGCTTACGCGCAAGTTCCAAAGCAGCGTGGTGCCGTCTATGCTGGAAGTGGCTAACATGGTTGATTGGGGGCTGACTTTGACCGAAGTCACGCCGTACTTGTGCCCCATCAGGGGCGAAAAGTAAGCCTCCACGTAGCCAGTGCCGGGCTGCCATTCCCAAACTCGAACGCGTTTGTCCCTGTGTGTGAAGAGGAGATGCGGTTAATTTAACACATGCGCCCTGGCCACAGTAAATTGCATATCGATAACCGATACTCACCCAGATCCCGTCACCAGCACGCAATCACCGGCGAAATCGATGCTGTTTACATCGCTGGTGTAAACTGTGAGAGTCTGCAAGGCTTGCACGTCGCCTATGGCAGTCATGTTTTCTCAGATAAACGGGGTTCTTAGCTGTAAAGACATACGTATGCAACATTAATCAGTTGTATGTCTCGAAGTTGCCGATGTCATCCACTTCGTGAGAGAATCACGTCTATCACGTGGACGATCTTGAACTTTTCAACGAAGAAACGTGCATTGCATCGGGTACTTTTTCCTTTCGTCAAAAAAAAAAAACGATTAAAAGAAAAACGAGAAATAATGAAATTGCCGTACGTAAACCCGTCCATCGATTAAGAAATTAGGTCATATTTGACACACACGAACTTTGCCGGCGGATACTGAATGTCAGAATATCGACAGCCGTCAGTTCGATGATATCAAATTATTATGATTTCTCGTGCATTTCTCTTTACAGTTAATAGTTAGTGGTTAGAGTTCCTTCAGCTATATTTTGTCCGTTATCCGGTATAGCTGTCACGCAGCAATGTCACGAGGGTAATGAGACACGGGGTGCACGTTTAACCTTCGAGTACTCACGAACCCCTGCGTTTCTTAATAATACATACGCCCCGAATCGACTAACTATTCTACAGGTGGGCATACGTAAGGTGAAGCGAGTTCTAAAGTTCCTGAAAGTCAGATAGCCTTGGCATTGACCGCCGCATATTATTATTAAAGGGCACTCCATCACAATCGATCTACAGCGTACATTAATTTCTCCACCATACGTTCTTTACTATAATTCAGCAGTGAAACAAATTGCTTATAAATATATTAATCTATAAACTCTATCCGTCTAACAAATCAAGTATCTGCGAAATTTCATAATAAAACAAAATTGTCGAATTTTCAGAGCAAAAATGAAAAAGAGTCTCCGAGACAAAAAACGGGTGTTGCATTAATAATTTCTCTGACATTACCTGTTTATGGATTTCGTTTTCTAAAATAGTTTACAATTTTTCACAATGTAGAGACAACGTCGGACTTAGACAGTAGCACGAGAGTTTTCCAACGCTGACGTGTGCATAAAAGCTATCGATTTGAGTTTTATCTCTTCCATCTACGAATAAACGCAAACATTACATTATTACATTATTCTGGCTCTGATCAGTATCGCGGATATAAAAAAAAAACTATTTCGCTCTCGCGATCCATAAAGCATTTGTCTTTATGATTGTATATAATTAATAATCAGATAAGCAGGTTCCAACGCAGCACACGATGTATTCAAGATCAAACCGTGATATCGTATAATGAACAAAATATAAAAAAATTGCATGAGTATACACAGATAATGTGCATGCAATATTATTTATTTTGTACACAAATAATGGCGAATCGCATTTTTATCTCGAATGATCATTAATTTTTACACTGATTGAAAAAATATATTGTTCTATCGCTCACTGCGCATTTCAAATCCATGTGTAACAATATTAAATTGTGCAAAATATTATTGTCGATTCAAACGTTCTGATTGCGTAATGTGCAAAATTGTTAACTATAAATCTGATACGTAATAAAAATTCAATTTATCTTTCAAAAGCGGTGTGTGCGCGAGTTGAACGACTCTAAAATATATTAACATGTCTCCAGTATTAATTGCACGGCACAGAAATAGCTATTTAATAGCAATCCATCCGTTATAGTTTGCGTAGGCCGCCGGCCGTTATTTAATCCGTCACCACAAAGCCAATGAACCTCTCGTTAAATTATTGACCAACAATAAATCAGGATTTGATCAAGCAGCAAGACCGGCGCTCTCGAATGTCCCTTCCGCTGAACGCACATTCGTGAAATTAACATCGAATTATATATTTTGCATCTTATATGACGCATAAGATATAGTTAATGATTCTGTAAATTTTTTGCATTATTTTTCGTATTTTGTGAACAATTGTCATCTCTCCAGCGTACTCACTCGTAGCGAAGGCACATGTTCCAGACACTAGTAGACAGCTTTCTCGCAACGCTTCGTTGTTCTATCAACATACCTGCACGGGACACATGTTCTCGCGTCCGTGATTTTGAGCTACGCGTCGCGAAGTGATGTCACATTATTTATCGTGATCAACATAATGTTCCTGCCGACGAAACGCTTCGAACAGGATACCCCGGACAGGGCACCTGTCACAATGAAGTTAAAAGCGCTAAACGCATGTCCACTGACCGTCCAGATCGATATTACAAAGGCGTAACGCGGGATATAAACTGCATACGATGTTCGCTGTAAAACGCAATATTAACGTGTAATCATTATTTTTTATAGCTACCAATTGAGATAATATTCTTGCCATTATACGTCTGCACATATTGTATTTTGTGTGTATAAAAGTCTATAAATTTTTTTTATTTGCTAGAAAACATGGTAAGAGTTTACTGCATTTTACGATATACATCGTTTAATAATAGTATTAGAGAATGTAATTGTTACAATTTGCAATTTTTTAAATTTATAGATGAAATGATTTATGTGTGACAAGTGTGTAGTCGCATATTTTTACTGTTTTTTTTTTTTTTCTTATCATTTTACTGTAACCTGTCGTAAGCAATAAAAAAATGAATACTTATTTTAATCTGAAAAATGTTTTAAAAAATTAGAATTATACAACTCCAGTCAATTTCATACATAACATAATGACAGTTGTTGAATATATACAATAATTAGTTTGCAATAATTAATATCAATCTCACATATAACGACATACATATAACCAAAATCATGGATGCATGCATACCAACCTGCGAAGACGACAATAAAATATTACTAAAATATAAATTCACTAATATTTGTAATGTGATTGGTTCATCGTTGCATTTGTCCAGAAAGTATCCAATCAGAATATGATCAAGATTATATACTTTTTTTCACTAAATTTGACTCTCGTGCAGCACATGGGTATATTTCCATTCTACATGTGATTCTGTAGTGGCAAACATGAGAAGTAAAGAGTCTGAATTGTTCTTTTTATTACAGTTGATTACAGTTTTATAGTGTAGTGAATTCAAGATACAGCGTTTAATTGTAAATAAAAAACCGAATAAATGATCAGTAGATACTAGTTGATATGACTAAATAACAGATGATGGAAGCAACTATTAAAAAAGAACTAAGGCAAAAGAAGAAGTTTGTAAGATTTGAAAGAAAAGGCTGGAAGGAAAGCTAAAGCGTGATACTGTATTAAAGGAACAGGTATCTGCAAAAGGAAAAGAGGAAGAGTGCCAGGTATAAAAAGGCATGATACTGTGTCTGATATTTTAGAATAGATATTAATCACAAGTTAATCTTAAAATCTCTTTGTTAATCTTTTTTTCATAGTTGTTTATAAACATACTTTATATATTTAGGAAAAATAAAACTACACGAGGACGCATTAAATCATCGCATAGAATTAAATGCTCAATTAATATAAATGATACATAAACTATAAAGTCTAATGGTTAGAAAATGTAATTTTTGAAAAACGAAATTATAATTGATAAGATAAAAGTATAAGATAAGATAAATATAGAAAACTTTCTTCTGTTTTTATTAGGAGAGTAAGAGATCAATAGAGGAATGTACATATTTCAAAGACGAAAGTGGAGTTCTAGCATCAGGCAACGTGGAGCAGTATTTGTGGGTTAAGTAAGGAGAAGGTAGCAAGAAAGATAGCTTATGAATAGCTTATGAATTATTGTGATTGTATTGGAAAATCTTGTGTCTGATGCCACTCGGTAATAAGCCAGAATGTGTGAAGTGCGGGACTCACGAGACGCCACTATGGCACTCGACGGATGCCGGTAACCTTTGCAATACCTGCTTGGAGGATGAGCGGAATGCTGAAGCAACTGCATCCTCCAAGGCAGACGAGGAAGATAAGAATGGTTCGCTGAGGCCGAGGAGAAGCACTAGAATCACTAGATATTGTAATACAAAAACTACAGCGCCACACAAAATTGTGCCCAAAGGCAAGGGTCGCAGAAATTTGTTTAAAAAAACGGTATGTGAAAGTTTGCATCTCGGAATTCTTCAACTTGTTACAGATCGAGACTTTATAAGTACTGTTAGCGATAAAAGTTCAACAAAGAAAAATTTTTAAAGTTATGGTGTTGTATTTTGTTAATTATATAATTTATGTTTGTTTGTATTTACAGCCAGTCAAGGCGCCTACTGCTACTGCAACTCCAGTTACTAGTAACTTTGTATTTTATAAGGGCACATATTTTCAAGTTGGAGATGTAGTCTCTATGCAAGATGTAGATGGTGCTATTTATTACGCTCAGATACGCGGTTTACTGACTGATCAATATTGTGAAAAGAGTGCAGCTGTAACCTGGCTATTGCCTACTGCAGCGAGGTAATACTTTATTAATTTTATATGTGATCTTAAAAACTGTATCGTGAATATATCAACATTAAATTATATATTTCAGCCCCCCACCGGAAGAAGGTTTCATTCCTGAAACATACATAATTGGACCGGAAGAAGATTTACCGCGCAAATTGGAGTGTATGGAATTTATAATGCACGCTCCATCAGATTATTTTAAGTTAAAAAACACACCATATCCCCCTTCGCTCACAGAAAAAGGAGTTGGCTATATATGGACTACTCTTAGAAATGAAATGGCCTTGTCTAAAAAATAGTGATATTAGTCTTTTCAAAGTAAATTATTATTGATTTTATTCTAAACTGAACAGCATAAAAATAGTATGATAAATTATATATATATATAAATTACTCTTTGTAACTTACAATAGTTTTAATTTAATATTGTCCTATATATAATCCTACGTTATTTATAAAAATTGTATTCAAGTGAAAGATGAGTATGACAAGAATATTATGCAGTGGAAACACATGCACTGTATATGCTGTATAATAAAGTGCTAACTATAAGAAACGGAAAATGATACACACTGTGCTATTTTGTTCATTAAATATATATTTGTTACAAGATAACATTAATGCTTTGTATTTCTGGTGAATAACTGGACATGTTTATCTCTCTTGTGTATTGGAATGCGGAGCTAAGTTACTTTGGACAATCGAAAATTGACAATACCATAGCTGAGAATTCACGGACCTGATATCATTTTAATATACTACTTAGCGTACGTATAAAAATCTAAAGAACAATTCTTATATTAACCAATTTTCTTTTTCTTTTAGAAACTCTCGAAACTCGACGCGCTGGTTGTCTCACCAGTTCGTATTTTCTGTCGGTAAAACCGTAGTCCAAAAGAGATAACGATCAGACAATGGTTCGCATCCGTAGTCTTTAACTCTGATATCGTTGAGATGGGATATATGCAGAGGTAGCAGGCAGCATTGGTGCATTCTCGCTTGCTTGCAGGGAAGGAAAAAGTGTCCTCGGCGTGGTAGTTGTGTCGGTTACGTTCGGGATGACAGAAGAGACCAGTCAGCTGGGTGCCAACGAGGTGACGGCTGGTCAGAATTTGAGATCTTTTATGGCTTGCGGCAAGTCAGGCAGCTTCATATCCTTTATTTGCTGCGGTATATTCATGTTCTTCACGGCCGAGACAGCACGCGCGGGCGCTGCTGCGATTCCCGCCTGCACACATCATACGGATGGAAGAAGTGTGGAGAACGGACAATTTCAGGAGGATTCAGTAAACGCCAAGGCTGAGATTTTAGCTGGGAATGAAGGCAAATGAGATGGATGACTACACGACGTGACGATATTTATTATTCTTTATAGGGATAATATGTATACATATTATCAAGGCACTTGGCTTCTAGAGCGGACAATTTCAAAATAAATTGTATCGCCATGCGTGTTACATAAACGCTCAACGGTTTTCGTAAAGCTGCGAGACTACTTTACATTGTTGACAGTTTTAAATAAAAAAAAAAGAAAACAAAAAGAGCGAATCACAAGTACACTTGCGGAAATGAGATTTATGCAAAGTGGCCCGATTTGCTACTGCTGATTTACTTAAGGAGGGGGCCCCAGAAGGACAAATGGACGGGGCGAACAAGACCGTCCGAATTTGCAAGTCCCCTAAAATTGATGTTACATCAGTCCTATCTATCATCACATCAAATTTGCTCTACAGATCAAACCGATATGCATGCATAGCTAGAGCGCTCAATGGACTGCTTAAGCAATTAACATTTTCAAGCCCAGTGAGAAAAAAAATAAACACATATTTACAAGAGTCAGCCGTACTAAGTTCAAAACGCATTTTCTAATATTTTATCTGATGAAAATGATGGGTTTGGGCGTAAAAAAGTTATATAAGTTTGTGCATTAAGCACAGATTGTCCAAACTGTGATCTCTCTGTTATTTCTATTATACTTTCATCATTTCAATGTTGAGTATATTGCTGGTATTTCATTTGAGGACACAAAATTGAAATAGATCACAGTTGAGATAATATCAAAGATACAAAAACTAATACTTACCTCTTGCTTTTCTAATTTATTCTGATCCTCAATTCTCGTGAGAATTTCAGTCATGTTGGTTTCAAGAACCATACCACCCATCACCAGTTCATTGAGTATATAATGAACTTTGTCCACATGGAAAATGAGATCTAGTTCGCACACATTCTCGAAACATTTGTCCAAGGTCTCAACAAAGACCTGTATCAAGTCTAAGATTCCTAGCTCTGACTCTGAACTATCAACACAGAATACAAAATAAAGCGTAGCATAGTGCCGATAGATCAGTTTATAGTCAGATCCACCGATTAGACTACCACCTTCCAAAAAATTACACACGTTGTCGTCTCTCTTTGAAACGAGCTGAAATGTCTCTTTTATTATCTGCTGTTGCATATCCTCGTTCTGAAGCAGAAAATGTATTTTATATTGTAATAATTCTGATACTTGTTTTTTTTTTGTCTATTAAAATTCTGTGTGGTTTTTCAGCGAAATTTTAATATAAATTTACACTTTCTTCAATTAAATATTACTTAATATACATTTCATTAACTTTTTCCCAAAATCAGATAAAATCGAATACAATTTAATTTGCAATTACAAAATTTGCAAACGTCAAATAAAGAGGATAATACACAGGATATACACGTGAACAGCCGATTATACTTACAAAGTACTGATAAAACTTGGAAAGACGAGGTTTCCCATGGTTGTTAAAAACTAAGATTGCCTTAATCATGTCTGTACCCGGAATCAGTTAACGTTACTCGACCTTACGGTAGTTTTCTTGATGTGCTCCAAACATACAGTCATTGGTATGCGAAAAATTATATTTCACGACTTCAACTAGCTTCCAACAAATTAACCCTCGTCATCTCTTTTCGATGTGTCAGTAAAAAAGAATTTTCTATCGTTCCGTATGTTATTACGTGACAATTACTGATTGATAAATTGACAGAGACAGAGAGAGGTTAATCAGCTGTCAATGACTGTAAACGTGTTCCGTAGAATAAAAACCATAGACATAATAAGTATAGACTACTCACGTCATTCAAACAGTGAACAGAATTCATAAAGAGAAAGAAAGCTTTGGACAGACTTGTTTTCTCTCTCATATGTAAAGATAGAGATAGCGATGGTAGATCTATACTTATGTATCACGTTTATGGTTGAGAATGAGAATTTCAATAGTATTGTAAGAATTTAGCGTTTTTCTTTTTGTTTATTGTTTAAAACTTTTCTTTTCTTATTTTTTCATACTCCACTATTTCTGTATTGTTATCTTATTCAGGATCTCGTAACTCGCTATTACGCATTGAAAGAAGAAGCGAAGAAATGGAATGCGGAAAGCGCAAGCAGGAAATAAGGTTGTTCCCCTGCATAAATCGTTTCTTATCTTTCTCACGCCGAATGAATGTTAATCTAATCTTTGGCTGTTGGTAGCCGAACCACCTTTTTATTGTGAGCAGAGAGATGTTATGGAAGGTTAATCTTTTCAATACTACTTCCAGACTGAGAGTAGTGATATTTATAACATCCTTTTAGCGATTACTACAACTTTGTTATTCATGCTACAGTACAGTTAAGTATGCTCAAAAAAACATTACCTTTTACGTAAGTCACGATAACAATAATAATTGAAAATACTTAAATAAAAGATAAGATAAATAACCCAATAGCTGGACATGTCACAATATCTCACTACATTTATAATAAATATGAAACCCGGAAATATTAAAAAAAAAACTTTAGTAAATTAAGTTTGGATATTTGGTACATAATAATTAATATAATAATTGATTAAGGGAGCAAGTAATATTTTATGTTGCAAAGAAACATTTCTAATCAGTTTTAAAAACAAATTGCCGAAAATTTCATGTAAAATGTGTCTTACGTGTATTCTACATTGTATTTGTATATTGATACATCCAAGATGTTTACAAAAATAATTAATTCACTATATAATAAACATTTTATTTCTCTTAAATAGACTATAAAAGTTTTTAATAATGAGTATTTAATACTTCGTAAATGTCTGACTACTGGAACATTTACTTTATTTCAAAATAAGAAAAGAATCATTGTAAGGACAATTTTTCCGTATTAGCGGAAACCGAGCTCATTGTTAACTAACAGAATGTATAATCGCTAAAAATGCAGGTTGCGTGCGACGTTACGGTATCACCGGGCTAAGGAGCGCAAGCGCCACGCATTCGGTTACCTCACCAGAGAACGAGAGTGAGAGAAGGAAAAAAGGAGCAAGAAGCGAGCAAGAAGAGCAGAGACAGCGCAAGAAGACATCAGGGTTAAATGGGATTCTTTTTTTTCCCTCCTTACCGCGTATGTGCATGTATGCCTTCCGTAGTGCGTGATGTTTCGGTGAGCCGAGTGTCGTTCTACGAGGTAAATGGAGAAGCGTCAAGTGCGGCGTGACCACGCAGTCAACGCGGCCAAAAAGTGAGTGTTTACACCTTGTCGCATGCGGGTTACACGATCGCGCAGAAATTTTGCGAAAATTCCGTCAGTACCGCGAGTTAATGTCGAATTAATTTCCGGCTCGCATCAGACGCAGTACAACAATCCGGTTGTACTGATGCGGCTGTGCTTGGAATGTATATTTTTAGCAGCATGATATACATTCTACTACCAACTATTATTAGATTATGTTTACAATACGTATTTGATTGATTAATTCCTGCTAAGATTTAATTATTTCTTTTAAGATAAGAAAGAAAAGATTATAAATTATTATATAAAATATGATATCAATGAACTTTATCAATTATACCAAAGTAAAACTATTTATACATGTAAATCTGAATAATATAGATATGGATGTTTATGTTTAACATTAAAGAAAAGATTTTACAATATAATTTGCTGATTATATTATTAAGGTATTTTTAAACATCTACAAGTAAAATCGGTAGTCACTACAAATGTCAAAGATACAGGTAGTATTGATAAGACGATTACTAATACCAATAAAGAACTATGTTTTGAAAGTGATAACATTCTTAAGAAACCACGTTATTATTCCAGTTATTAGTCCATATCAGGCAATTTTAGCAGAATGTTAAATCTTATACACAGGAAGTTTCTTGTAACTTACGCATGAGTCACTAAAGATAATTTGCCAAAGATCAATAGTCCATATCTTTGTTATCTCTTCCAATCTTAGATAAATATAGATATTTATCCTATCTCTATATATCTTTATGTAGATGGATAGACTGCGACTGCTGCCTATGGATCTACCTGCAATCACTGTTAACAGTAGTGGCAGCGTTAAGGGCAAGACATCTTTTGTTCGACGATTGGCAATAGGATTTGTGATTCTGGCCATACTAGGTCTTTTATATGTGCCAGCATACCATTCCGCTCAGAGTCCATTCTTAGGCTTAGGTGAAACTCCATCTCCTGCAGAACCTCTTGGCAGTTCACACTCGGTAGCATCTGTGGGTATGCGTCTATTGCTTGACATTTTCCAATTATGATAATGCATTCACAATTGTAAATGTATATGTGTAAGTATAATTGAAGAGGAATATAGAGTAATTTAAATTTGCAAGTATAAATATAATAATAATGATAAATGATAAAAATAATCAATATTTTGTTGTAAACTTGGATACAATATGTTTTTAATATACGTATAATATATTTCATTTGACGTAACACTAAAATTTAATATAATAATGGAGCAATGCATTGTACTTTATGCAGTAATGTTTAAAAAAAAAAATTAGTTTTATGAAAAGAGCCTAATGCAAACAATTAATTTGCAGCACAATTACCTGGGTGGTCATATAACACGTCAAGAAGCCTCTACGTTTATATTCATCCGGAAAATACCACAACTATTCTCAGCCCTACAAACATTTGTTCACTACCGCCATATCTGTTAATAATTATCTGCTCGGCTGTAGGAAATCAGGAGGCTCGCTCCGCTATTAGAAGCACTTGGGGAAATAAATATAACTTAGATAATTTGTATAATTCTACAGTAAAAGTAGCGTTTTTACTAGGACAAAGTGACAACGATACACTCAATGTAAATATTTTATTGCTTTATTTCTACAGAATTGCTTTTACAGAATGTTAATGTTGTGTTTCTCTTCTAGAATCTGATTATTGAGGAAAATTCCCAATATAATGATATTGTACAGGAACGTTTCTTTGATACGTATAACAATTTAACATTGAAATCGGTCATGATGCTGAAATGGGTGACATCGAATTGTGATCAGGCTAAATACCTCATGAAAACGGACGACGACATGTTCGTGAATGTTCCCCTGCTCCTACAAACATTACACTCAAGAACGCAAGCAGAAACTCTTCTAGGTTCTCTCATTTGTAATGCCAGACCAATATTAGATCCCAAAAACAAGTGGCAAGTATTCCTTTACTTATATTTTGTTTAGCAAGACATCGTATAAAAATAATTTAAACCAACAATACTTTTAATTGCACAGGTATACACCAAAATACATGTACTCGGAAAAAACATATCCAAATTATTTGTCAGGCACAGGGTATGTTATGAGCATGAACGTGGCGTCCAAGTTATATCAAGCAGCGTTGATAACGCCGTTGCTGCATTTGGAAGACGTTTACATCACGGGTTTGTGCGCGAAGCACGCAAAAGTCCGACCCGTGAATCATCCTGGATTCAGTTATATACCTCGCAAGATGGATCCCTGTGTGCTCAAGAACGCCATTACTACGCACAAAGTTAACGCGTCCAATATGTATGTGATTTGGGTGAAGTTAAACGATACAAGTATCTCCTGCAGCAATCGTATTCGTATTGACAGAAAACCGGTAGCTCTGAGTAGAAACGGCAGGCACGCCGGCTACTACATTTTTAAGAGAAAAACTATAAACAGGTGCGTCTAGGTTCCTGATATTATTGATTCCACACATTATATATATATACGCCATAAATTTTTTATCAAGTTAGACGCGAATCGAATCGAATTGATGCGAGGAATGATCGGAGAGCAGTGAGCTTCCAATTCGAAGGATAGTTTTGATTTCTTACAAAACTCATCGTTCATTTCGATATGTCCAATCAATTTCGAAATATTATCGCTCTATCAGCTACTTATCGGGCAGCTTATGAATTTACCCAATATAATTCTCTTGTAAAAGGAATCGATTGGACTTTTAAAGTGATAAAATTATGAAGTGATGAATTTTCGCACATCTTCGATTCTAGGCATTTCAGGCTGTGTCCAGTTGTCATTGTTAGTTTATTACTGATAGTAAGCCTATATAAGTTTTGCAAATAAGAGTATGGCCGATTTGCACCGAACGCATCTGATGATGAATCTAACAAATAAGTGATGATCCATGAGTTAGCAATTTCTTTATTTTACATGGCATAGAGATGAAAAAATTGAATTAATTAGTATTAGTGTTAATTGACATCGGTGCAATAGGTATGCATTTTTGAAGAAGAGCGATCGTGACAGACGTTCGGATGACACACCGAAGGTTTTGTACGATATTTTTCTATTTAAACCAAAGTAGTATTTAAGGATACGCTGTCAATTAGACATTTTACATAATTTTCATTATCTTTTCTATCTCTGTGAGACATGACAATTAAATAATGAAATTTACAAGAAAATTTCAGATAAGACAACATGTTATTATTGTGTTGGTTTGTTGGACTATTAGATTCTTGATTAACACTTCCTAATAATATTCAAAATGATATATTTATCTATGTAGCATAAGAAGTTTTCCGCGAAGCATGATTTTATTATAATAACGCGACCGTATATACGCGTTGTACGAGAATTGATAATTGAACAATTAATGGCCGAAGGTCACAGAGCACGAAGCTTCCCTATCTTAATAATACAGATAATGTTTGTAAATGCTATTGCTTCCACGTACTTATGAGAAATTATTTAGGAATGTAATGGCATTAATATAATATTATTAATCTATATATTTCAGAACTCTTTTCCTAATAACTTATTTCTTGAGCATATATAAACATACAAACTTGGCCAAAAAAAATTGAAATTGCTTCCTCAATTTAGTAACATAAGATATAAATTATTTTTTATTTACACAATAAAATAATATGCTTAATTTGAAAAAAAAAAAAATGTTATAAATTATAAAAATGAAATTATTTTGTTAAACTTGTTAGTATTCTATATTATATCATATTTTATGTTGTGATTATATAAATCTTTAATATTGCAAAAAATTTTACAATAATATATATTATAAACATTATTTTGGTTCGTTGTATTTTAACTTTCAAAACCTAAGATGAAAAAAAGTATATATATATTTTTATCTTAAGTTTAGAAATAATTAATTGTGATCATTTTATATTAAGATATTGTGCTGCTTTTATTTTTTAAAGACTCATAAGCAGTTTAGCTTAGCGTATTCGTGCTGCGTTATGTATGCCTTCCGTTTATAAAGACATGTTAAGAATAATGTGTTTTCTAAATACATTTTATAATTAATATAATTATAATTAATTTTATAATTAAATTTCCTTTATATGTGTTATGTTAAAATATACTATCCAAGATTTGAAGAGATTCCATAAGATTTTAGATACACTGATAAAACTATATTAATATAAGACATTACATTACAAATATTAAATAGATAGAAACAAATTTTTCTCTAAAATGTAAAAAAACCTATTCAATTACAGTATATACAAATTGAAGTATTTCATGCTTTGCTTTTTAAAATTATTTCCTGATAACAATTTCATGAATTTTATGGTTATGTGTTTATAAATTCTAATTGTGCAATATACTTGATTATATTTTATGTAGTTTAATCTTTTTTTAAAAGCAAATTCTAAATATATAAATTTCATTACTTTTAATAGTATTGAAAAAAATTGTACAACATGATAAATGTTTACAACAAATAAAATGAACATAAAAAAATATTGTAACGCCGTGAAGCTAAGTTTAACCAATTTTTGAATGAATATACTATAAATGCCACAGAAAAGTATTGTTTGTAATGCATGATAAGACTTGTTTATTATTAAAACCATACTCCCATATTAAAAATTTAATACACATAATATGAAAAATAAAGCGATAGATAATTAGCAATTAAGAGCTTGACGATATAGCCTAATTTCTTGCCGGAATCTTTGAACTCTAGTAAGAACTTGTTACAACTTACAACTAGCGTTTAAATATAATGCGGAATTTGTAATACGTCGTGTATATCATTTTATGTCATATCAGAATGATCGGGAAATTGGAATGGCGAAGAAGTTTGTGAATCAATCACGTACAATCACGGTGTGCTTCAAAATTGACACATTCCATGACAATGATATATTTGTAACTTAGCAGCAAGGTTAAGATTAAGATTATTAAAATGATTGTACGGAATACCCTGTGGCCTTAGAAAATTTATTTTACTTTATAAGAATAGATCGTTCTGGCGCATTGAACCCTTTATTAAAAAAAAAAAATCTAGTAGGCCATTAGTCGGTGCTATATGACATTTGAATGAATGCTTAATATAATGATATGCATTTTAAAAATATATATTATGCAAATATAATACAATATATCAAGATTATGCAATTTTCGCTAGTTTTCACATCGAACATAAAGAGCAGTAAAAAAAGATAACACTCTTCTTTTTGATATGCATAAATTCTGATCGTGTGTGAAACAATTTAGATGCATCATTTTATATCGCGTGCTATAGTATTAATATATGCTATTTATATTGCTGCAAAAACATTAGATAAGGTTCTCTCAGAAGACATTAATTTGTATGATAGGAATTGCGCATAAAACAAATGTAAATATTGTTACGTTGCATTTCGAATAAAAAACAAGAGAAAACTGATACCAAGAAGGATGCAAATTTTATTTATTAAAAATATAAAAATACAATGCGGACATAATTTATACAAAATTATATGAATGTTATTAAATGTTTTATTAACGAGTGGCGTTCGTTACAATAAAAAATTTTGATGATACAAAATTAATGATTTTGCAATGATGACACTTATAATTTAACACATACATATTTGAAACATATATTTAATAAATTCATATTATAATGCGAATATACATTAATATACAAAAAGTATATTAAAAATTAATTAAATAAAATGTATATTAATATATACTAATATACATTATATACAGAGAGGTACATAATAAAATATTCTTGGATCGAATTGGCGTTACGAAAATTATATTTTGGAATAAATAGAAAAAAATTGATATTATTTTTAAAAAACACAAAAAATTTAAGCAAAAAAAAATTGTGATGGTTTTTATATTTTTTCCCTTCAACTTTCTGCCTAATAAAGATAAATTATATTTATTTCTTAAAAAGAAAAACTTGTGTTGTATTTAGTGTTTTTTTGTATATAATACATAAAATGCATGAAAATTTACTTAATCAAATATGATATGCTTGCATCATACAAATTAATCAGTATAATCATCAAATTAGTAAAAATAAATTGCATTAATTTTTTACATATCAATGTATATTTGCATTATATGAATTTATTAAATATAATATGTTTCAAATACGTATGTGTTAAATCCACACAGTAATAAATAATGCGTTCGAGTACGTATTTTTAATAATGCAACGCATTATGCGTAATAAATCGATCCACTGGAAATGGAAGATATATATTTCTTTAAGAAGAAACCAAAAACTTCTTTAGATTTAAATTTGGAGGAAATAATAAGAAAAATAGAGGGAAATCAAGAACACAAATCACATTGCGAACAAATTGAAATAGGCATTAAGAAACTAAACATTAAACAAAAAACAAAGGACTAAGAAATTCCATTATGCGTTGCATTATTAAAAATGCGTACTCAAACTCATTTTACACCTGTTTAAAAAAGAATAATGTATATGTTAAATCCGCACAGTAATAAATAATAATGCAACGCATAATGCGTTACTGTGCGGAGTTAAAACATAGATTATCCTTCTTTAAACAGGTGTGAGATGAGTTTGAGTACGTATTTTCCTAGATTTCAGTCTTTTCACCATCTTCTCAACTTTCTTTTGCTTACATATGTTTTTTAAATCAAAATCAAAATTAAATTTTTGTTTAATTACTTTAGAATATAATTTTTGTAACAATATTTCGATCCAAGGATATTTTCTCACGCACCTCTCTATATTGCTTGATAAATCAAAATGACGATTAACCTCGAATATTCGCTTTATTAGCAAATACTCTTGTGATTCTCTTTCTTTTTTCATTATTTCTATTTCCATTATTCTCATTTTATTCCACATATTTACCAAATTTGAATATTTGAATACACGTGAACCGATACATTGTCGACTGCTTTGCCTTTGTTTATTTATTTTGTTTGTTTCATAAGAAGCACTGCCAGATTCTTGTTGAATTTCTTGCTCATTTGCTTTTTGCTTAATATTTAGTTTCTTGATGCCTATTTCAATTTGTTCACAATGTGATTCGTGTTCTTGATTTCCCTCTATTTTTCTTATTATTTCTTCCAAATTTAAATCTAATGCAGTTTTTGGTTTCTTCTTAAAAAAAAATATATTTTTCATTTCCAGTGGGTCGATCTGTATTATACAATCTTGGTTTCTCTTCCGTTTATTTATTGGAGCTTCACGCTTGGATTTTGCGTCATCTTCTTTTAGGTTACAAGTGCTCAGTTCCTGTACTAATTTGCTCATTTTCTCTGTGCAATCTTTTCTAGCATCTGTTAAAAACATGGGTTTTCCTTTAGACAAATCATGTTCTCTTAATATTCTGTCTTGATATTTACGCAATTTATAATTTAAATGCCTCTTATTATCTATAATATTTCAACAAAGTTGAGCTAGCTGTAATAGAACAGCTAGATACTCGTGAATCCAGAAGCATCTTATCTTGCTGTGCAATTCTTTCCAGTTTTCCATTTAATGTGAGACCGTGTCTTGCCGCTTTGTGCATTGTTCTGCCACCACATGCTGCGTAAAGCTGCTCATCAATCACTGAAGTACTTTTAAGATTTGTAGCTGTTTCTCTTCTCTCAGATTCCTCAAAAGTACATGGCATAGCTGCACCAGCTACCAGGTGCGAAGAGTCATCATTTGTGTCAGTAGCTTTCACAAAGTTCGTGTATTTTATATTTGGCTCGTTTTTTTCATTTTGTTTCTTTTTAGATAAAGTGAAAGCATTATCATTTTTTACTGACAAGGAAATCTGGTCCCCATTTGACTGAACTATCATATTCTTTACGGCATTGTCATAGACTGATTGCGACCAATGTGTGTCGAACGTTTCTTTATAACCTATACCCGCGTTATCAAATTTTAACGTGGGCTTTATAGGTTGTGAAATACCATCCTCATTTATGCCAAGTCCTTTTCCTAAAACATTCAAAACAATGGTGCATTTATTGTCATCATGCAACTGTGATCAGGAAAGATAATAAAAAAATAAATAAGAGAGAAAATTAAAGTTGAGCAAAGAGAAAATAAACAAATTTTAGTATGTACGCCACTTGTAAATCCGCCACGTGGTAAATAATAATATGTTGCATTATTTAAAAAATTATTTCAATTGCTTCATTCATCGTGAGACAGTCGTGTATTTTTTAATTGTCACAATAAATAATAAAAAAATAAAATAAAAAGCAAAGGAGAAAAATCGAAAGAAAAAAAGTATAAGGATCATGTACGCCACTCGTAAATCCGCCACGTAGTAAATGATAATGCGTTGCATTACTTAAAAAATTATTTCGATTGTTTCATTCATCGTGAGATAGTCGTGTATTTTTTAATTGTCACAATAAATAATAACAAAATAAAATAAAAGGCAAGTGCGAAAAATTGGAGAAAAAATATGAGTCATGTACGCCATGTAAGTCCGCCACGTGATAAATGTTAATGCGCTGCATTATTTACAAAATTGTTTCGATTATTTCATTTAGCGTTCATTGTAACAACTAAAAAATGCACAACTATCTTGTGCATTTTTTAATTGTCACAATAAACAATAAAAAAAAAAAATAATAAAAAGCAAGGGAGAGAAAGATAGCGGAAAAAAGTATAAGATTATGTATGCCACTTGTTCATCTGAAGAATTGAAATGCGTTACATAAAAAAAAAATTGCAGTCATACCTTCAGTCCAGCCGTGCTTTTGCAATTGTTCTTTCCCGAAATTAGACATATTTGCTATTTTGCAAACAATTTTACGAGCTTCTTAAACAAGACCAGAATTACACTCTTCTTACACAAGACTAAGCAATGCTGCGATCAGCTGTGGTCAGTGTTCCGATTAGGGACTGGTTGCTTAGCGTATATGTGGCTTTGCGCTTGCGCGGCGATGAAAATGCAGTGCCGACACACGTCGTGTGCAGGACTTTACGCGGGACTTTTGACAGGATGAGGTTAGGAAAATAGAAATAAGGTAAGGTTTTTTATTTATTATAATTAAAATTTATAAAATAATTAAATTATATATATATAATGTATTTTTGTACATATATATATATGTATATATATTTTATTCTTTAATACATTAAAAAAATTTTTATTACTTTAAATGAAGCTGGGTAACGGGGTCTCTTTTTATATGTACGAGACACTTCATTGACACCGTATGGCCGCACATGCGCAAACAAACCGGTCCCTAATCGGAACACTGGCTGTGGTGCACAATGGGCTTGTTCGTTTTAGCTGCACTGGGGCAGCTCTGGGTCTGCTCTAAACAAGATAATACAGGACAAACTATTTATCTGTCCTGTATTATCCTGTGTAGAGCAGAACCAGAGCAGCCCCAGTGTAGCTAAAACGAACAAGCCCTATGATGGCTATGAAGCTAGTCCGTGCTACCTGATGCGTTGGCAAGTGGTTACAAATGTGAAGATTCTGCACATGTACGAATTGCGTTCAGAAGAACAAACCGCTTAGTAGCAATCGAACGTGATTGGCTTTTACTTTTAGAGCAACAAATCAACAGCGTTATTCAGCGAAAAATCTAGTAACTTTGCCAACTGTTGAGTCTGCTGAATGCGGCCAATATTTCTAGTAATTTACTAGATTGTATGCTGCAACAAGTTGCACAGTCTCATGTTGGCTTGAGGTATTTTAAGGTTCCTTAATAATTGTTACAAAATTGTATAATATATAAAACTAAAAAAAATCATAAAATATAAAATTAAATTTACTATTACTGTTTATGCAAGTGTGCGTAAGTTGCGTTAGCAAGTGTGTCTGAATATACTATAATAGGGGCGCACCGCTGAACGCCTTCGATGACATAATACGCCGTAATAAAGTAGATCGCAGTTTTATATAAATATCTTAAAATATTTGATTATTCATAAATATATTTACAATTGCGTAAAGCATTGACAATATTATCAAAACGTTAAATTATAATTTCTTTATGGATTGTTTTCGGACATATTTATAATATAATCGAACAATGTTTGAATTTTGCGAATAAAATCAAGTACGATGTTTGCGCAATCTCTGTCTCTTCCGGTCGAGAAAACAAGTTGCAAAGATGGAGCAATTATGCGCTCGACAATAGTTAAACAAATTAGTGAGAAGAAGAGGTAATCAGGCCAAAGTGACACAATTATTCATAATAAGTTTACTTTCCGACTAAGCCGCGAATTCTTGTCAAGGTTCCATAATATATTAATCTAAATTTTGAGTACCGAAAAATCGAGCAGATTTTGTTACTTATAAAATATTCTAATGCGTTCTATTATGTTTGTTACAGATAATATTCCTGCAAAAAAGAATACATAAAAGAACCACATTTAAGAGAGTTCCAACCAGTTCCCGAAATAGGGGCGAGCTTTGTTCCGTGGTGTTCCAGCGGTCATTGTCACGATAATGGTACAAATTGCTTCAACTTGGATCACACGAGTTGCAACACTCCCATCGTATACGGCCTAGCCTGTAACCAGAGTCAAACGTACGTCTGTCAACATTGTAAGTATTGCAAGTTCCGGTTTTGGAGAGGGCCTAGGACTGATTGGAAATTATACGGGATAAGGATCAACGTCAACTCACTAAGTAGATAATTAAACTCGACGAATTTATTTTCTGACCCAGTCCTGGGACCAGCCGTAATCGCTCAACGAGAATAATGAAATAATGCACAACTTACAAATTTGAGAGGTCAGGAGTATGCGTGACTCGCAAATCGAATTTGAACACGAATTACGCAAACGATAACGACTTGCCGTAAACATTTTTGCTATTAGAGATAACGATAGTGCATTATTTATTATATACAAAATTAATCGCAATTCGTTTCATACTATCACATCTATTAATACAAATCATAATTTTTCATTAAAACCAAAAAGTTTGTCCAATGATTCTCAAAAAAATATAAATTTCGAAGAAGTAAGTTTAATAGGTACAAATTTTTCTAATCATAACAATGATTATAACGCAAGAAAGAGTTTTGAGAGAATTGCACATAGAGAATTCAAATTAAAATCTTTATTCGGTAATAATATCGTGCCTTTAATAAGGAATGATAAAATTTTGAATACATCTGAATTTAGATACTTACCTATTTTTTTAACATTTGATGTGAGATCGAGGTTTTATGACAAAGTTAAAGTATATTTATTGGTCTTCCGACTTCTCGTTCACTTTCTGCCCAATCGAATTATTATTATTATAAAGTATAATCTAATCAGAAAAAGATATTTCTATATCAGAATAAAAATTGGAAAAATTATAATTGTTTTATTTATTACGTTAGCATTCTCGTAGTAAAATGATCTGTAAAAAGTATTTTATCTCTAAAGCAAAATATCACTCGCAATGAATTCTCGATCCTTACATTACAATTTTATATTTACTGTCATTTTATAATTTCCACGTTTATAAGATAATGTGGAAGGAAGTCTTTTAAATAATTGACCACTTATACCGATATTGAAAACTTGTGTGTTATATTGTCATTAAATTTCATCAACCGTTTAATAAAAGTGGAAAAACAAGAATAAAAATACGAACTGCAATGGGAAAAGCGTGGTTGTTTTGTCCAGAGAGAGAACAACATTAAAAGATAATGCATTCTATTAATACCATATAGCTATATGGTCGTTATTAATGTAAGAACATTGTCGTCGAACTCTAAACTCATGACATGTCATATTTCGTTGTCGTCGGGGAAAGATTTACTGTTATGTTGAAAGCAGCGATAAAAATATGGACATATTGCCGATAAATTTTTCCGTCTTTCGTTTCTGCGGTATATGGAAAGAACGTCAAAGTAGCAGTCCGATAATACGGTTTATCAGCTTTTGCCACAGGTAAAGTAATTATAAATATATATTATATTGAGCAAAAAATGGATCTAATTCCGAAACTTTTTATTGCTAATGTATTAAAATTAAAATTATCTACTATAAAAAAGATCAGATGAAACAACTCGAATCGAGTTGCATATAGCGAACTGACAGTCCTGATTCTTTGAACACAATTTTGGTGTCCTTTTAATATCTTGTTTGTTGATCTGACTTGATTTTTAGTCAGTGTGACTCGATTGTAGTTTGTGCAACAAAATTTATGTAACTCTGAGACTTAGTTCTTTATATCTAATTTTTTTTTCACTGTATAAAGAAAGTTTTTATAAATCCAGAAATTGATTAATCCGGAATTTTAAAACATTATATATCTATATGCGTAATTTTCTTCTTTTTTGTATAATTTGAATAGGTACACCATTGCCATTGTATTATATCACTTTACGATATCTGAAATAATTGAGGTCATACGTATGAGGAATGATATGGAGAATTTAACGGAATGTCTATTCCTCGCCTTAACTTACATAATTACGTGCCTAAAGTATCTAAATTTTTCGATGCGGCAGAGCGAATTACGCGCCTTGCTAAATTGTTTTCGCGTCAAGTTAAGTCAGCCAAAAAATTCTGCGGAGGAATTGATATTGAAACAATATGATCGCATAGGTATTTATATAATCTTTATATTATCTTAGAAAGAAAATATTAACTCTTTGCGGAACAGTTTAAAGAACACACACACAGGAGTCCGTCCGTAATAAATGAAAATAAGCAGAACAAATAAATATATTATCCCTGCGACTCGTAGAATCTAATTAACTATTTTGCAAACTCCATTCTTCCGTGACGTGCTGCGAACGAAGCTAAACGGTCCACATGTTTCTACATGTCCATGTGTCAATCGACGGCTGTACTGTTCATCCTAGTGTCCTTGTTGAGCCAGGACGAGAGACTTTTGCCGTGCAAGATGTACGTACCATATTCCATAACGGCGTTACTTCCTTATGCGCTGACTTATCTTCTGCAAGTCGTAGCTTTAATTTACGGAGTGCTACTGAACGTCTCCTCCGACTGTCTCGTTCACGGTCTCATTATTCAAACCTGCGGACAAATCGAGCTGTTGTGCCACCGATTGACGAAGTCATTTCAATTTCTTCAGAAGAATAATGAAGGGAATAAAGAAAAAAAAATCGATACTATTGAAAATTTCGCTATCGCGGAATGCGTGAGGCATCATATTTTGGTGCATAACATCATGCAAAGAATACAGTCGCTATTCGTGTGGACCATTGCTGTGTTGTTCTTTTTCAGCCTCGTCACTCTCTGCACCAGCATCTATCAGATGTCTAAAGTAAATCAGTTATGATTTCACATTTCTTTATAAAAATCGATTTCGAATATGATGTGATGATTAATGTTTTTATTGCAGAAAGAAGTCTTGAGCGCCGAATTCTTCAGTTTTATATTATATTTAAGTTCAATAATGTTTCAAGTATTCTTATATTGCTGGTACGGCAACGAGCTTGATTTAAAGGTACTGCTAATAAACTTCGAGTCTCATAACTTGTTCATATTTTATATCTGTTGATATTAAATTTGCATATTTGTGTTTATACAGAATAAAAGTATCTCGTATGCTATTTATATTAGTAACTGGATGGCAATATCGATCAAACAACGTAAAAAATTGCTGCTAGTAATGATAATGAGCCAAAAAGGAAGGATAATTTCTTTTTATGGAGCTTGCGCATTAATTGTTAGTACTTTTACATGGGTGAGTATAATAAAAATGTATGTAATAATGTAAAGCAGCCGAAAATATTTACAATTTTTAAATTATATGATACACAAATGTAAGCTGTAAAATGTTTTATCTGTAAAGTTATACATTTATTCTTTTTGTAGATTATGAAAACATCCTACTCTGCTTTCCAATTATTGCAGCAAGCTTCAAATTAGTATTTTGTGTATTAATTGTTTAATTAATGTATGATTGCCTTGAATAAATTAATATTGATTATATTTTTGCATCGACTAAAAATGCATCATACAGCACACAGCATTTCTGGTAATTTATTAGATTGCATGCGAATTACTGCAACAAGTTGTATAGTTTGATGCTGGCTTAAGGTATTTTAAAATCCTTTAATTATTGTTTATTTAAAATTGTATAATATGTAAAACTTAAACAAAACAATCACAAAATATAAAATTAAATATTACTTACTATCATTGTTTATGCAAGTGTGCGTAAGTTAGCATTACGCAAGTGTGTATAGATACATAATAGGCGCACAGTGAATAATAGAACGCCTTTGAAGAAACTAACACGCTGTAATAAAGTAGATCACAATTATGCGTAAAGCATTGATCATTAAAACGTTAATTGATAATTTCTTCATGGATTGTTTTCGGACATATTTATAATATAATCGAACAATGTTTGAATTTTGTGGATAAAACCAAGTGCGATGTTTGCGCAATCTTTGTCTCTTCCGGTCGAGAAAATCACTCGCAATGATGGAGAAATTATGCGCTCGACAATATTTAAACAAATTAGCGAGAAAAAAGGTAATCAGGCCAAATGGCATAATTATTCGCAATAGTTTTACTTTCTGACTAAACTATGAGAATTCTTGTCAAGGTTCCATAGTATATTAATCTAAATTTTGAGAACCGCAAATCAAATAGATTTTGTTACTTATTAAATATTCTAATGCGTTCTATTATGTTTGTTACAGATAAATATTCCTGCAAAAAAGAAGACAGTTAAAAGAACTACATTTAAGAGAGAATTATTACAATACCTATTTCGCTGCTTTTGGTAATAAATGATCTCATCAAGTGCAGGCGCTGCTAAAAAGTGAGTGGTGTTACACAAATAAGCATTCTTATTTTAAATATTATTTTAAATCTGGTATACAATGGTGCACGTGTTTAAAAACATTGGCTATCGCTATTGGAATCGGCCGGCGATAACAGCCAGTCGAAGGTTATTAGTGCTAGCAGCTACCTCGAAATGTTATCGTTCGTTTTTTTATTACTTTACTTCCTAATGCCGATTCAAAAGATTGCTACACAATTTTTAAGTATAATAAAAATACATAATATCATTTTTTTATATATAAATACTTTTAAATATTTCATTCAGAAGAAATTAAATTTTAAAACCAAAACAATTTATCCCCTTTTTTTATCTTTAATGTATTAAGTAATTCATATTTTGATACTAATTAAAATCAGTATTTGGATCAGAAAAATTATTTTAAAAAATCAGATTCTCTTTATTTTATTAAATTAATGACTGGCACAGCTTATTAATAGTTCAAAAATGAAGTGTGTGTGTGTGTTTATGCGTGTATATATATTGCAGATTTATATAAAATGTCACCCGACTACCGCGCCGCGCATACTTTCGTGCAGGACAGCGTGGAATATATCTTCTGCGAGTATCGCGTAACCTGGGATGAAGCTCGCATGATGTGTTTAAGTTATAAAGCCGAACTTGCGACGGTGGATAGCGAGCGAAAAGCGCGGGTTGCAATCCGTACGATCGTCGATAGTGATTTGCGTGAGTACTTATCAACAAAACTTAATCTGAGGATGTAATTAAAATTTATACGAAAAAATATGTGTCTAAGAGTTTAATCATCTAACAAGACGGATAAAATGTAATCAGGACTTACCGAAAATCTATGGATTGGAGCGCGGGAGGACTCTGCCGGTTCCTGGTACTGGATCTCAAACGGGAATAAAATAACTTTAAAAACCGTTTCACATCGGAACGTCAGTTTATGGTATCCATATTCTGCAGATGAGAATTTACTATGTTTGAGTTTAGGCAGAGTGCATCACGATGCGCCAATTTTCGTTCCACTGCGATGCAATCAACGGCGACCCTTTATTTGTCAGAAAGGTAGTATTCTAATTTTTATCATAAATAATTTATTATTACATATTAATTGCGCGCATTATAGACAATCAGTTATTTCAATTATAATTGTTATTGTTGCAATAATAATTATTCCTTCAAACAACGCAAATTTTCCAGATATTGCACTGGCAATTTTGTTACGATGTTTAAGTAAAACAACCGTTTCTTTTTTGCAGATAAAAGTAAATCTAACGATGAAAGTGTCAAAATAATGGGTTCCACTCGAATAAATGAAGAGGAATTTATTTTATATTCAACGAGACTCACCTGGCCGGATGCTGTTATTCATTGCAGAAAAGAGGGTTTACAAATTGCTGAGGTCAAAACGACGGCACAAGCTGAATCGTTGGCATTTCTCATGATACGAGCTCGACCAGGTATTTTTTGAACTAAATTGCAAAATTGTTAACATTTTTATATAAAATTTTAAATAAATAATTAATCTTTAAATACAATTTTTTACATAATAAATATTCTGCTTATAATATTAATATATTGATTGATGATCGTCAAATCATCATTCAGAATCAATTGAAAATGCATGGATTGGTGGATATGCGACTGGAAATACGTGGAAGTGGTTGCCTTCTGGCAGCATTATCACAAATAATGATTTATGGAAAGATGATAACAGAAAATCGCATGGTTGCCTTTGCTGGATACACATGTATGTGAACTGCCGGTTTATCTGGAAACGCAATGCGATCGTAAACGTGATGTTCTTTGCCAAAGACGTAAGAATCACAACTTACGTTATTATAATTGGAGAAACAATTAATTCATGAAGTTCATCATAAGAATAAATATAATTCTACTTGCTCGATTACGTATTCTACTTAAAATTAATTATTTTCTACATTTTCAAATAAAGAATATAAAAATAGAGAATTAAATATTTAAAATGGTCTATTTAAAAAATGTTATATGATGTTAAATTTTCTGCGTAACATTTTTTAGAAAACATATATATAATATTAATTACTCATATGTATAGTAATTACTTACACAATTTTTTTACAATTTTAGCTTTAAAGAAGCAGATAAGTGAAAAGCCTATCCCAGTTTACATAGAAGAATGTCCTTATTGGATTGGATTTCATGCACTCAACTGGTTTCAAGCCAGAGTCTCGTGTAATGAATTAAATGCATCGCTCGTTATATTGGATTCTTCGAGAATTATTAGTCACATGATGTTTTTGATGGAAGACAATCAAGAAGGTAATATAACGAATATCAAGAATAATATTATATACAAACAAAAATGAGAAAAATATATTATACCTTATTGTTCACATCTTTGGATAACTACAAGTCGCTAGGCACTGCTCAAAACTTGAGATTTGTTTTCAGACAGCGAATACCGAGAAACTCATATCTAACAATACTATAGAAAAATCTTTTTTTATAACACAATACTAGACAAACTATTTCTAACGAATTAAAAAAATGGAAAAGTTAAATCCGTATTAAATTAAAAGTAGCTAATTACAAAAATATATTTGATCATCTATTTTATCTGCCTGTTTGATTGTAGAATTGCGGCATATTTGGACTGACGGCCGGCGTAAATTGTTGCGAACGACGTTCAGCAACACAACGCTCCACAGATGGTCCTGGGAAAGTACTGGTGAACCAGTTCCCGAAATAGGAGCGAGCTTTGTTCCGTGGTGCTCTGGCGGTCAATGTCACGATAATGGCGCAAATTGCTTGAACTTGGATCGCACGGGTTACGACACTCCCATCGTATACGGCCTAGCCTGTAACCAGAGTCAAACGTACGTCTGTCAACCCTGTAAGTATTGCAAGTTCCGGTTTTGGAGAGGACCCAGGACTGATTCGAAATTATACGAGATAAGAATCAACGTCAACTCGCTAAGTAGATAATTAGACTCGACGAATTTATTTTCTGACCCAGTCCTGGGACCAGCCGTAATCGCTCGACGGGAATAATGAAATAAAAAGTAATGCACAACTAATAAATTCGAAGGGTCAGGAGCATGCGTGACTCGCAAATCGGATTTGAACACGAATTACGCAAACGATGACGACTTGCCGCAAACATTTTTGCCATCGGAGACAACGATAGTACCTTATTACGATGACAAAATTAATCCGAAATTGTTTCATACTATCACATCTATTAATACAAATCATAATTTTTCATTAAAACCAAAAAGTTTGTCCAATAATTCTCAAAAAAATATAAATTTTGAAGAAGTAAGTTCAATAGGTACAAATTTTTCTAAACATAACATTGATTACAACACAAGGAAGAGTTTTGAGAAAATTGCACATAGAGAATTCAAATTAAAATTTTTATTCGGTAATAATATCGTGCCTTTAATAAGCAATGATAAAATTTTGAATAGATCTGAATTTAGATATTTACCTATTAACGTATTTGATGCGAGATCGAGGCTTTATGACAAAGTTAAAGTATATCCATTGGTCTTCCGACCTCTCGTCTACTTTCTGCCTAATCGATATTATTATTATCCAAAGCATAATCTTCAGTCTAATCAGAAAAAGATATTTCTATTTCGAAATAAAAATCGGAATAATTATACTACAAAAAGTTCAAATTAAATTTGATAGAAGACAATTTATTATTTTTATTAGCGTTGATAAAAATTTGTCAATTGTTTTATCTTTTACGTTAGCATTCTCATAGTAAAATAATTTGCCCATAAAGAATGTTTTATCTCTAAAGCAAAATATCACTTGCAATAAACTCTCAATCCTCTTACTTTACAATTTTATATTTATTTCCATTTTTTTATAAGACAATGTAGAAGGAAATCTTTTAAATAATCGACAACTTATACCGACATTGAAAACTCGTGTGTCATATTGTCATTAAGTTCTATCAACCGTTTAACAAGAGTGGAAAAACAAGAATAAAAATACGAACTACAATGGGAAAAGCGCGGATGTTTTGTCGAGAGAGAGAGAGAACTGCATTAAAAAATAATGCATTCTACTAAAACCATATAGCTATATGGTCGTTATTAATGTAAGAACATTGTCGTCGGAAATGCCTCAGAATTCTGAGTTGATGACATGTCATATTCGTCGTCAGCGTCGAGGGAAGATTTGCTGTTATGTTGAAGCGATAAAAATATGGACATATTGCCGATAAACTTTTCCGTCTTTCGTTTCTGCGGTGTATGGAAAGAACATCAAGGTAGCAATTCGATAATACGGTTTATCAGCTTTTGTCACAGGTGAAGTAATTATAACGTATATTGCATCGAGCAAAAATGGATCTAGTAGCTCAGAAACTTTTTATTGCCAATGTATTGAAATTATCTGTAAAGAGAGTATTTTATTAATCCAGAATTTCAGAACATTATATATCTATATGTGTAATTTTCTTCTTTTTTGTACAATTTGTATAGGTACATTATTGCCATTGTATTATATCACTTTACGATATCTGAGATAATTGAAGTCATACGCATGAGAAATGATGTGGAGAGTTTAACGGAAAGTCTGTTCCTCGCTCTAACTTATCTATCTACGTGTCTAAAGTATCAAAATTTTTCGATGCGGCAGGGCGAATTACGTGCCTTGCTAAATTGTTTTTGTGTCAAGCTAAGTCAGCCAAAAAATTCTGCGGAGAAACTGATATTGAAACAATACGATCGCAGAGGTATTTATATAATCCTAGAAAAAGAATATTAACTCTTTGCGGACGGGACAACTCTGAAGGACGAGAGTCAGTCCGTAATACATGAAAGTGGATAGAATAAATAAATTTATTATCCCTGCGTTTCGTAAAATCTAATTAATTATTTTGCAAACTCTATTTTTCCGTGACACACTGCGAACGAAGCTAAGCAGACCACCTGTTTCTTCATGTCCATGTCTCAAATGACGGCTGTACTGCTCATCCTAGTGCCCTTGTTGAGCCAGGACGAGAGACTTTTGCCGTGCAAGATGTACGTACCGTATTCCATAACGGCGTTACTTCCTTATGCGCTGACTTATCTTCTGCAAGTCATAGCTTTAGTTTACGGAGTGCTACTGAACGTCTCCTTCGACTCCCTCGTTTACGGTCTCATTATTCAAACCTGCGGGCAAATCGAGCTGTTGTGCCGCCGATTGACGGAGTCATTTCAATTTCGATGGAAGAATGATGAAGAGAATGGAGAAAAAAGGATCGAGGCTATTGAAAATTTCGCTATCGCGGAATACGTGAGACATCATATTTTGGTGCATAACATCATGCAAAGAATACAGTCGCTATTCGTGTGGACCATTGCTATTTTGTTCTTTTTCAGCCTCGTCACTCTCTGCACCAGCATCTTTCAGATGTCTAAAGTAAATCAGATTATGATTTTACATTTTTTTATAAAAATCGATTTCGAATATGATATGATGATTAATGTTTTTATTGCAGAAAGAACTCTTTAGTGCCGAATTCTTCGGTTTTATATTATATTTAAGTTCAATGATGTTTCAAGTATTCTCATATTGCTGGTATGGCAACGAACTTGATTTAAAGGTGCCACTAATAAATTTTGAGTCTCATAACTTGTTCATATTTTATATCTGTTGATATTAAATTGCATATTTGTGTTTATACAGAATAAAAGTATCTCGTATGCTATTTATACTAGTAACTGGATGGCAATATCGATCAAGCAACGTAAAAAATTGCTGCTAGTGATGATGATGAGCCAAAAAGGAAGGATAATTTCTTTTTATGGAACTTGCGCATTAATTGTTGGTAGTTTTACATGGGTGAGTATAGTGAAAATGTATGTAATGATGTGGAGCAGCCGATAATATTTATAATTTTTAAATTATTTACATGATATACAAATGTGATCTATAAAATGTTTTATCTGTAAAATTACACGTTTATTTTTTTTACGCAGATTATAAAAACATCCTATTCTGCTTTCAACTTGTTGCAGCAAGCTTCAAATTAATCCTTTGTGCATCTGTTCTTTAACGAATGATTACCTTGAACGAATTGATATTGATTATATTTTCGTATTGTATTTACTTGTAGATATTTTAGATATTATAGAATATTAGATATTTTTATATTAGAAGGATTTTAATTCCGTAGATTACTCTTTTAAACACTTACGTTTGTTTGTAAGAAATAAAATTAATTAATACAATAATATTTGATCAAATTTGAAAACATACATACATATATCCGAACGGATATTTTCACTTAATTCTGTGTAATTCTGCAGACTTACAGTATATTAAATTCACTTTGCAGAATTTTCATCAGAGAAATATTTGAAAATATTTTCTTTATCATGAATAATAGAAATACTTTGATAATATTTCTTATTTTTTCAATATTTCCAAGTTCAGTATTTTACAATATTGCATGAATTACGCGAGCTCATGATTTATAAACTCATCGCAGTTGTGTCATCGCAGACATTTGATAAATCTAAAATGCATACGGAGAAAAGCAAATATAGCGAAAGAAGAAAGTTGACGAGGTCTTCTGTGTGCCATTAGATGACATTAAATGTTAAGGAACGCTTGGAACGTTATAGCGCGTCATTATTAATTCACGAGAATGAACGTTGACAACGTTATATGGAGTGTCTCATTACATTTTTTTCTATTATCTTCGTGTTTTCAAAACATAGCAAGGCATGACAAGAGGGTGACCACTGTCCAGGTCATCGAAACAACGTCGAGGCCAGCGTTCTTGAGTTATGGATGTATTACCACTGAATTTCCGAGTTCTATGGTTCTGTGGCGCATGGAGCGAAGTGAACGACAACAATCCTCTCGTCCGTTGTTTAAGTTTTTGCTACAGGTACGATAATAGACGTGATTCATCCAGTCATATCTTGGCTGCGTTCGGAGTGCGTGCTATCAGCGCTATTGTGTCATTCTATTCTTGTTTTATGTCAAATGAACGATAAAGATAGAATGACGCAATAGCGCTGATAGCGCGCTCCGCGAACGCAGTCCTTGTGTCTGTTATCTCGATACAAATCTATAATTATATATACATATATATATATTAATACAATCATATATCGTTTAGATTCTAGAATCAACTTTTGCTTCTCGTTTTTATTTTTTTCTCATTTTTAAAACGTAAAATTATTGAAGAACGTTTTCATTGTCTGTCAGTATTTGTGTAAGGCTGAGTAAAAATAAATGTTGTTTATATTGTAGAGAAAAAGAGTTAGTTTCTACTTAGACAACTTTCAGATTTAGACATTATTTTCTTCCACTTGCAAATAATAATAATTAGAGGTAGTTAGACATTTTTATTTAATAATAAGACGTAATAAAACTTTCAGGTATGCCATAGTAATTTTAATATATGGATTCACGATATTGGAAGTGATTGAGCTTGTGAGGACGCGCGATCATATCGAGGATTTAACCGAAGGACTCTTTCTAGCGCTAACTTATGTAGCCTTGTGTGTCAAATATGGAAATTTCTTGGCACGACAAAACGAAATGTCCATGTTGTTGGACTGCTTTCGAGGCGAGACCTGTCAGCCAAAGGACTCTGAAGAAAAGATGATTTTGATCAAATACGATCGTAAAGGTATTCAATCAGTAATATTATTATTATTTTAATAAAATTATTGTGAATAATTACTTTTAACACTGGAACTAACAGTTAATACTAAAAATTAAAAATTTAATATATTTTTACTCTAATACTACATATTAATGTATAATAGAACACACATATTGATACATTCTATTGGAAAAAATTTGTCAGAATAATCGAATTTAGTAGTAAATTTTATATTTAGTATTTTATAATAAAAAAAATGATTTAACTCTTAGAATATACAAATTAACTTGAAATTTTTTTATATCTTTCTAAAAAATATACTTGAATAAATCAGTACGTGAATGAATTTAAAAATATTGAAATGTGTATCACAGTCAAATGGTGCGTCAGGGCTTTCATGAGTTTGTCTCAAGCCACTTGCATAGCACTTGTGCTCGCTCCTATTGTGGGACCGCAGAACACCGATAGACCTTTGCCGTTCAAGACATACCTGCCGTACTCGATATCTGGCTTATACCCGTATTTGGCGACGTATCTTCAGCACGTAGGCGCTATATTTTACGGAGTCCTACTCAACGTCTCGTTTGACTCTCTCGTTTACGGCTTCACTATTCACGTCTGCGGGCAGCTCGAGCTGCTGTGTTATCGGCTCTCGGAAATCTTCAAGAATTACTCCGACGTGAAGCAGTGTGAGATCGATTCGGACAAAAGCGCGATGATCAGCGAATGCGTGAAACATCATTTACACGTACACGAAATTGTTCGCAGAATACAATCGTTATTTGTGTGGACCGTGACGATTTTATTCATTTTCAGCATGGTCACCCTGTGCACCAGTATTTTCCAAATGTCCAAGGTTGCGTAAGCTAAAATTTTTGGGATCGTCTGTTAATTCATTTTAACTTAATCAGCTTCGTAAATTCTTGCAATGTTATTCCAAATATTTCTTTGATACGACAGATAGCAAGCTGTTGATTAGAAAGCGTCGTAATTGCTGCTAACGCGATACCGCGCGAATATACTGAACTTGAGTTTGCTTCGCAGAAGAGGCTTCTCAGCGTCGGATTTCTCTCGTTGATTTTGTATCTCGGCAGTATGCTCTTTCAAGTATTCTGCTACTGCTGGTACGGAAACGAGTTGCAGTTGAAGGTGATCGAGCAGTAATTCATTTTCAAGATCGATCTGTAATTCGCGACGCAGTTTGAACAAAAATATTTTTGCAAAAAGAGATGAGAGAGTACATAAATTGCATACATAAAGATTATACTTTACTTTTACGCATAATTTTTCAGTTCTGTGCCTGTGAATTATAGATTGTCTTAAAAACAGGTTTAACCTTTTCGCTGCGTACACATACGAAAAGTAATCTCTCAGTTGCGTATATCTACGTCACGAAAAACCACTTGCGATCGCTGTTCGGTTGAAGCACGCCGCAGCGAAAGGGTTAAGAGCTTACCGTGATTGCTGAGGAATTCTCTTGTCGCGTATGCAGAGCAGGAACGTTGCCGATGCTATTTATTCGAGCAATTGGACGAGCGCCACAATGCGAGATCGCAGAAGTCTGCTGTTCGTGATGATTATCAGCCAAAAAGGATTGAAGTTATCTCAGTACGGCATTTTCAGTTTGGCCCTCGACACTTTCACCTGGGTAAACTCATGGCATATCTATACGCCTAATTGGCGGCAATCTTGATAATGATTGATAATCTTTTTTGCAGATTTTGAAAACGTCTTACTCAGCTTTTAATGTTCTGCAACAAACATCAATATGATTAGAGCCAAATTATAGAAAAAAACGACGCATTGTATAGAATTACATAATTTTTTTTTTACATCCGTGTAATTTACGCATGCATAAAAATGTTTTCAGATAGAACTTTTTTCAGATTATTACATTATTCTTGACATACGCCGAGTAGTGTTCCGTATGATAATCTACTACATTGCTAAAATAATTATATATTTTTTATCGTCCCTATACTTCGTTTACTCGCGAAGCATAGCGAACGTGGATATTTAATATTTCATCAAGTATTAATCCGCAAGAGTTATATCGTTTCTCTTGCAACATGCACGACATAGTCTGTTATTGTAACAACCTTGTTATTATGTCGAAAATATGTTGTACGCAAGTGTTTTTTATTCTAGGAAAAGTTCGAACACAACTCTGGAGCCGATCATATTAAAATTTAAAATGCACTCGGCGACGTAACACGCATGCTATTACTAATGCAGCTTTCAACAGCAGAATGTGTCATTGGAAAATATTCTTCGACCAAACTTCAACTCATGCATAATCAAGAGACAGAGAAGAACACGCGTCGAATGAAATAGGATGTGGTAAACGACCTGAGGATAACGTGGAGTCATGGACATTCTACCGGTTAACTTTAAAGTGCTATGGTTCTGCGGCGCATGGAAGGAGCGAAAAAACAAAAACATTATTCTCGCATTTCTGCATGCTTGTTACAAGTATTTGGCACAAGCGATGAAAGAATCGTAGTTTTTAATAGTATAATTTTAGAGAATTACGTATACATATTTTACTTCACAAAAAAGTGTAGTCTGAATCTGTAAACTTTTTGATATTACAGAATGCGCGTTGGTAAAAAGTAACTTGTTTTGACGTTTTAATAACATAAAATATTGTTTGCAGGTATGCGATTTTGATCTTAATATATCAATTTACGATCTTCGAAGTAATAGAATTGTTTCGCACGCGCAATCGCATTCATGAATTAACAGAAGCGCTTTTTCTCGCTGCAACGTTTGTGACGCTGTGCGTGAAATATGCAAATTTTCTATTACGAAAGAAAGAACTGTCGGTGGTGTTAAACTGTTTGCGCGTAAAAATGTGTCAGCCGAGAAATTCTATGGAGGAGCTAATAATGGAAGAACATGGTCGTAAAGGTATTCAAGTGATTCGAATACAAATATGTACATCATTTAGAACACATTTTACGAATAAGCAAAACATAACATATATTTTCCATATCTTGCACGCTTCTTTTTACTGATAAATGTATTTTCATGACAGCTAAATGGAGCGCTCTCTCCTTTCTGATAATATCGCACGCGACCACCATCGGTTTCATTATTACGACGGTTTTAAGTCTGAAAAAGGGAGAATGGATTTTGCCTACGAGATCATATGTTCCTTATTCCATTTCGAAATTATTTCCATATCTGGCGACGTATCTGCAGCAGATTGCAGTATTGTTCTACGCAGTGATGCTTAACGTTTCCTTCGATTCCCTTGTTTACGGCTTCACGATTCACGCCTGCGGGCAGATCGAATTAATCTGTCGCCGATTAACGGACAATTTTAGAGCCTCGAAAACTCTCCGGGAAGAATTAGGATCAAGTGAAATCGAAGAGTGTATCAGGCATCATGTATTGGTGCAGATTTTTGTGAAGAAAGTAGGAGCGCTATTCGTTTGGACGGTTATGGTTCTCTTCTTCTTCAGTCTGATCATTCTTTGCACCAGCATCTTTTTGATATCAAAGGTTCTATTTTTAAGATTCTTATTATCTTCAGATAATAATGTTTGCGAGAATAATGTTTTGATATTCGCATTTTTCGCACATTTACATTTAATAAATTGATTTATTTCGTAGACAAAGCTGTTTACCGCTGAATTTCTATCTTTATGCTTATATCTTGGAAGCATGCTGTTACAAATATTTTTTTACTGCTGGTATGGAAATGAGCTTAATCTCAAGGTAAATCATTAATAAAATTTTATCTCTATACAGAAGTTTTTATGTGTAAATTATTGATATTTTTATTTACAGAGCAAAGGAATAGCAAATGCAATTTTTTCTAGCAACTGGACTATAGCAACAACAAGAGAACGTAAAACCTTGATGCTTCTGATGCTAATCAGTCAAAATGGACTGGTATTTTCTTATCACGGAATTTGTACGTTATCCCTTAAAACTTTTACATGGGTAAGAAGCACTGAGCCGTATCTATAGATTATAAAGGTATTATATGAAAAAGTTGCTTCTCAATTTATAAAAAAAAAATTTCTTTCTCCTAGATTTTCAAAACGTCTTACTCCGCTTTTAATCTCCTGCAACAAGCGTCGAATTAACGTTTTTAGAATTACATAAATAAAATTTAATTTTATACGTAGTTCTAAAACGTATCATAAAAAATGTAATTTGTTAATTATTAATAAGAAGTATTAATTATTTCTACCTCTACATTTTAAAGGAAATTTAAAAACTATTAATTTTATAATGTAGTATGTAATAAAATAATATTTCTGAATATTAAGCCATCAGGCACACACAATAAAGATAAAAAAGATAGATGTTTCTGTCGTTGATATTTGCACAACAGTTTCGTTCACTACATGATTATATTTTATTCGTTGCGATATTTTCATGAAACAGGAACGTAACATTGCTTTAGGAAAGAGCGGCAAAATAATATTCATTTCGTAAATTCAATCGATTTTGCAGAGAAACTCTGTAACATCGAATTTCATTCTTTGACATTACGTTTCAGCAGGATGATGTTTCAGATATTTTTTCCAAGTTCCAATTTTTTACTGTGAAAATGAACTTGAGTAGATGTTTAATTACGCAGTTATACAAATGAAATATTCAGAATCGCAAAAAAGAGGGAGTAAAAAAGTACAAAGTGCTAATATTGTTCTGGAAAAAGATTTCAGATCAGACGATACAAGTGTGCGACCGTATAGTCAGCAATCTCTTTCGCAGAATAGAAGCATTGTAAACACTATTTATTTTAGCAATTGGATATTGGTCACGTTCTGAGAGCTCGAATATCTCATACTTATTATCACAGTCGAAGATGAATGATGTTTTCCACTTTTACTCGGTAAGTAAACTCGAGGATAAATATATGCATCGCAAAGTTTGCGTATTTCATTACGGAACATCTCCGAATTTTTATGGTTATCCTTGCAATTTTTCCAAACCTTAAAAAATATAAAAGTTACCTTTCTTGTTTCCAGCTTGACGCAACTCGTTATTCACGCACAAGACTTTATACATGACTTTATACACGGTTTTATGATCTGCTTCTTCACGAATTGTTTTAGACAATAAATTCTTTCCGCGCGACACGCGACAATCGTCTTATGTCAGAAACACGTTATATGGAAGTGAATTTCTGTGTTCGAAAGGGTGAAACATATGTGACGTTGGAAAAGGGTTGTTCGATGCAGCTGAATCGACCTTATTAAATTTTAACGTGTTTCCGACAATATTATACATACACGACATTATTAATGCATCTCGTAATGTCGATGGAAATTTTTCGTTATTACCGCAGGAGGAACTTGTGCATTATTAAGAGACGGAGAAGATTTCGCGACGATTGAAACGAGGCGAAGGTAAAGCCGACAATTACGTAGGGATGAAAACATGGACATTCTACCGACGAATTTCAAAGCTCTGCAGTTTTGCGGCGCGTGGCAAGAGCGGAAGGGCGATAACGTGTGTGTAGAATTTTTGCATTTTTGTTACAGGTATTTATGCACGTAAAATATATATTAAAATACATTACACATATGTCACACATACACCGATATATAAATTTTAATAAACTTTTTTTTTTTATATCGACTCTCTCATTTATTGATTATTTTAAGCAGTAGTGATTGTAGGTACGCAGTTTTCCTTCTGATATACGAATGCACGACAGTCAATCTGATAGAAGTGATTCGCAAACGCGATCATATTGACGAATTGACGGAAGGGCTCTTTTTGGGATTGACTCTCTTCACATTGTGTATAAAATATGCGAATTTTTTGCTGCGGAAAAACGAAATATCAGCGTTATTGGACTGTTTGCGTGTAAAGATGTGTCAACCAAAAAACTCTGTAGAAAAATTAATAATAGAGGAACATAATCGTAGAGGTATTTTTCGAAGAATTCGTAAATATATGACGCTTCATAAACATTACATAATCGAGCACAGACACGCGTTAAAGATTATAATTATAATTATAATAAATAATCACTTGCTCAAACATCTTGTCAACGGCACGCTGTAATTGAATCATCTCTCGGATAAATACTTTTGTACTTGCCAGACGTTCCACTTAAATGATTAATTATGCTTAATTGTTAATTAATTATGCAAATTTTAAATTCAATAATACGTCAAATCGACAATCATGATAAACATACAAATAATATGTTAAAATATTTTATTTCGAAACTTTTCTTTCTTCTTTTGCCATATTATAAATGATCAAAAACTGTTACTAAAATGGACTTGGGTTAAAATAAATTTTTGTGTCAGTCGAAGAACGGCTGTTAAAATTAATTCTAACATTCCAGCTAAATGGAGCACTATCTCGTTCATGGCGCTATCGTATGTGTCTGCGGTGGGCATGACAATAACGGCAATTGTAGAACTACTTAAAAAAAACGAGCATACATTACCGTTGAAGGTATACGTTCCATACTCCGTATCGGATCTGCTTCCATATCTAGCAACGTTTTTACAGCAAATTCTAGCAATGTTTTACGCAGTAATGCTCAACATTTCCTTCGACTGTCTAGTTTACGGCTTTACGATTCATGCTTGCGCGCAGATCGATTTGATGTGTTATCGATTGACAGACAGTTTGAGAAATATCTCTTCCGGAAGAAAGTCGGAGGTGAGCACCTCAATCGAGGAATGCGTCAGGCACCATCTGCTGGTGAACATTCTGGTGAAGAAAATGCGAGGGCTGTTCATGTGGACGGTCATGATTTTCTTCTTTTTCAGCATGATCATCGTCTGCACCAGTATCTTTCTGATATCAAAGGTATCGCAAAGACAAAACGTTTTATTTAGTCTCGCTGATATACGATTATTTCTTGCAGAAGAAACTGCTCAGCTTGGATTTTCTTTTTATGTTCATGTATCTGAGCGGTGTAATGCTCCAAATATTCTTCTACTGTTGGTACGGAAACGAGCTTGAGTTAAAGGTAAATAGCAGTATCGTTAAAAATGATATTTTTACAAAAGTACCTTTGTCACTCTGTCGTTTCAAGCGATAATCTCGCATTTGACGCTAGCGATTGTTGTCGCTCAAGAAAAGGAAATACTGCTGTTTTTCTAACATTTATTAACACTTTCGCGATTGTTATATATTTGATTCTGCTCAACGCTTGGAGCCGCTCTATTATATTGAACTGATGTAAAATCCGACATTTCATATCACGACTTAATACAATAATGCAAAAAAACAGTAAACATAAAATATATAAACGTAAAAATACGTGAGCGGCCGCGAAAGTGTTAACAAACAAGTCATATTTGTATTTTCTTAAAGACATTAACAACTTGATTATTACAAGATGATATCTTAGGATAAATATTAATAACCAGCTTGCGTTTAGATAACATCTGCACTTGTGGCATTGATATCTTTGTGCAAGGAAGTCTTACGATAATGTGCGATAATGCGAATGCAATTTTCTTTTTGCAGAGCAAGAATATCACGTCCGCTATTTATTCCAGCGATTGGACAATGGCGACGCCGCGAGAGCGGAAGTTGCTGATATTTGTCATGATAAATAGTCAAAAAGGAATAATGTTTTCTTATCACGGATTGTTTGCGTTATCGCTACAGACGTTTACCTGGGTAAGTGTATGAAACGTGAAAATGCATAAATGAACGCGCACATGATTCCTGTTATTACAGTATTTTTCTAGACAATTATAGAAGCCAATTAACATAAATACAGATAATATCTCTTAGACATATGACAATGATGCATCGATTTTATTTCAGATTTGTAGAACCTCTTACTCAGCTTATAATCTCCTGCAACAGGCGTCGAATTAATCAATATTGACGTCATGCGTAGTGAACAAAATAACATTTATTTTTTTGTATCTTATTACGTAACGTAAGATACAGCGTAATATTTTCTCAAAAGATCATAATTGTCCATAATTGATTGAACAATTATAAAAACTGTTTCCGTGCTGAACACGTTGTTAAGAAACACGACGAGGTAGCAGAGAGATTGCATGTAAAAATTTCTAACAAAAATTCTGTACAATAAAACGTAGTTTTATAGATCTAAAAAGTAGCTTAATGTACTGAAGAAATGAAAGAAGCTCAGGTATTCCGGAGAAACAAATATTTTCTATGATCATTGATTATGTATCGATGATGCAGTCAAGGAACGAGAACTGCTCGCTCTCGCTATTCCGATCCATTAGGCGACAATTTGGCTAGCTTGGCTACCCAAGCGTTCCATCTGTCCTTCCACTGGGCCAGTGCATTCTGCTTCTCCGAGTCGTTCAAGCTGCTGTAGATCAGCGAATTCTTCGCCAGCTGCTTGAGACTCCTGAGATCCGAGCTGGCGCTCATGAGACCCATGAAGGCCTCGTAAAAATCGGAGGTCAGCCCGCTGGCGCCCCAGAGACCGGGATCGTCGTTCGAGACCACCACGGGCGATCCCGACGCGAACAGATTAGTAGCCGGATGATTCCGCATGTCCTTCACGAGACCGAGAACCTGGTTCGAGATAGGACAAATTTCTATCGCGATCTTCCGCTGCCGCGCGAGTTTCAGTAGAAGTGGATGCTTCGTCAACGCGTATCTGAAGAAATATTGCAAACATTGATATTTGAGCTCGATTCGCATATATCAGACATATGAATTAAATAGTATTTTAAAATCCCGCTTTTAAATTTTAAAATAAAGATTTAGATAAGAAGTAATTTTAAGCAACTAAAAGTTGTAGAGCGGTTTTCGTCTCTCTCATTTTTCAATTATACTTTTAATTCTGAGATTTTTTAATCAATTCTTTTTTTTTACAGTTTACTCACCCATGGCCGATACGTTTGGTGTTGAGCAAGAAAGCGTCGAAGAGGTTCAAATCGGTGGGCTGTCCGTTCCAATTGGTTTCCCCGGCGTGAAAGAAGAACTGAATTCCCGGACTAGCGGTATTTAATTTGTCCGCGAACTCGATGAGCGGTCGGCCCTTGTCTTCCTGGCCAACCAGATCAAAACCAACCACGAAGTCCGGAAACAATTTCTTCAATTTTGCCATCGTTTGCAGGTAATAGTCCACCGTTCCTCCATCAACACCTCGAAACGGTGCGTATATGAGTTTAACACCGATAAAGTCGGGATGGTCCCTTGAAAACCTGTCGCATATATCTATTACATTTTCTTGTCCGCAGTACTCATTAGCACAATGCTAAATATTAGAATAAACTGCGAGGTAGAATAATTTTTTAAAGCCTTAATTTTTTTCAAGACCAATAGTTTTGATAAATAAAAAATTAACAATCTACAGCAATAATATAATAAAGTAGGTGCAAAAAATTTGTCGCTTCTGGATGAAGGATGAATTTATTTTAAATAAAGTTATCAATTTCCATTCTAGAAGCTCGAAGTTTATTTTATAAAAACTTGTTTCTTCAGATAAAAAAATGGAGACTATTTTGCTTCATAAAAATTTACTTAAAAGCCCGCAACTCTGTTTTCAATCTTGACGAATACGACAAACCTTTTGCATCAACTTAGATAGAAAAAAATATTGAAAGGAAATTAAAAGCGTCTTGCCTGTCGGCGACTTCCTTGTGAACCTGCGCAATTTCGATCGGTCCGTATACCGTATTGTTGAAATCATACAACGACGATAGCGTCGTTCGTAACTCCAAGTACATCACGTTGTCATCGTAGAACTCCTGGAGACCGCGATAAAGGTGATCCTCGTAGATGGGTCGGTAGGTCAGCCAGGATTTCATGAACACGAAGATGCTGTTGAACTTGTTCCACGCCTTGTTGACGGTGTCGTATTTGGTACTCGGATTGTCCGTGATCATGGTCAGACTCTTCCTGATCCTTTCGTTGATCGCGTCTGCCTGAACAGGATCCTGTCGCACCTCGCTCAACAACCGCCACTCGCATTTGTCGTCGGGAGTGTTGAAAAATTTCAGCTGCAGACTGCCGTTCGCGTAACACATGTACAGGTTCTCGCGATACGTCAGATTGTAGAGTTTGTAGTCGAGCGAGACGATGGCGGTGTCGTGGGCGTGGAGAATCGCGCCTTTGGGAAGATCACGCAGGATTTTGTACACTGTGGAGTTTTCGATCTTCGATATCACGTCCATGAAGTTTTGTGACGGTAGGAAGCTGTTGCCGCTGATAAAACCTAAGATACAAGAATCTCTGTGCTATAAATTAGATATTGGAATATCAGCTGATGATGAAACCAATGTTCTGTTGCCTGTTACTGATTTTCCTTTTTAACACTTGCATACATTTTCGCAGTGTTGTTCTTTTCGTTTGCTAACAACGTATTGATTGTTAATTAATTACACTGCTTAACGTTAAATTATTTTAGTTATATTTTTTACCTTTGTATTCGATTATACAGCATCGAAGTATTTTTGTAATATTGCGAATCTGAAAGTGAAAATGGAGAATCATGTTTATTTATGCTAAATATTTATGAAGAACCAATGTTACAAAATATATTTTTATTAAGATATAAAAAAAATTAATATTAATGATGAAGCAATGCTTTGAAATACTTTGCCGAAACATGATTCTCAATTTCCACTTTCAGATTCACAATATTACAAAAATACTTCGATGCTATGTAATCGAATACAAAGGTAAAAAATATAACTAAAATAATTTAACGTTAAGCAATGTAATTAATTAACAATCAATACGTTGTTAACAAACAAAAAGAACAACTACAAAAATGTATTCAAGTAAATATTAACGTATGTCTGATAAATTATCTGATATCTGCCGTAAAACGGATACTCATGAATTGTCGTGCCATAAAAGTTTACGGTTCCATGCGCGATCATTGATAACACATGCTTTCAAATAATTATAAAAGAATCACTCGGGAAGGCCGAGTGCGCGTTCCGCAAAAAATAATTTCTACAATGAAATCGTTGAAGTTGGCGGAGGTAAACTACCGTGACACAACAGTCTTCGTAAAAAAAGCTAAATTTTATTCTGCAATAAAATAAACGCGATAAAAAATGACCGAAACTACATTGAATTTAGATCCTCTGAGATGTGAGATTTCATCTCTAAAATCGATTGAAAATTTGATACTGCAATCTTTATCGTTTATTTGAATTGCGGACTTGTCCGCAAAAATCGTGGATAGATCGCGTAAATTAGCAATTGTGAGTGAAAGGCTCGAACCATCGTGCATCTCGCGATCCTTGGCTGTCATCAGGACCTCATTGGCCCTGACCTCGATGGGGTTCAGCTGCAATTTGCCGCCCAGGGATAGATCGCTCTCATTCTTTATTAGTTGCTCTCGTTGGCTCAAATAGTCAGGCTGCTCTTCTTTTTTCTTTATTCTTCGGAAGGGGAAGATTCTTAGTGCGAAAATTGCTTCGCCGCAGATCAGGATCACGAAGATGAGCAGGATCGATCTGGTCATGATCGTGGGAAACTGTTTGAGTAGATGCAAACTATCGTGTTCAGCCGCGTCTTTCTCGACGGAACGTTAAAGGGCTGCGCTCGATCCTGCCGCGATCGACGGATCTGTGATGTGAGCGTCGCGGCTGCCCGATCTCCACTGAATGACTTACCACCGAGACTACCATTATAGACCAAGAGGAATGGTGGGTACACCAGTGTGACCGGTAATCATGCCGTGCTTATTGATGCTACCTGCATCGTCAGTGACCAAACACTCACGTGTCTGTCAACCTTTTAAGTAAATGAAACGTGACGAATGTGACAAACATGACGAAAATCTATATACCTGCAGACAATTCGCAATTAATTATGTAAATTTCGAATAATTAAATTTTACGCTCTATTAATATGTTTTGTATATAAAAAATGCGTAAGTAATAAAGAGACGTGCGGAACTTTATATAAAGTAGCATTAAAAGAAAAAGATCGCGTGCTTTCCATAGCGGAATTATCGATCAATCTTTTCAATATATAAATTCTTTCCAAGACTTTAAATTAAAAGTAAAAAATCTCAAATTGAACCGTTGAGATGGATTCAATTGAATTGAACCAATTGATTCATAAGAATCATGAATGAAAATCTTGCAGAATAATTCCTATTTGTCGACATTTCGTGTTTAGATCATCAGATTATCATTAATCTAAATTAGATTAGAAGTTCTAAATCATAGAATTATTTTAAATTTCATATACATTTTATATATGTTTAATTAATAAATTATACATTGAAAATTTAGATACTAAAAAAAAACTGATAAAACATCTGAGAAAAAATGTATCACAAATCAATCGATAAATTTGTTATGAAAAACAGTTTTTTTTTAGACACCTTGTACGAAGTTTCACATACATCTGTTTATTGCTTGTGCAGTTTCACTGTGCAGTAACAAGCATACTAATAAAGCATAACGTTTCATTAATCATGAATATAAACTTAATGAATATAAATCATATCATGTAGAAAATTCGTAAGATAAACATATTGCAACTGACAGGTTGCGTTGCAAAGAAAGCTACTGCTTTCTGTTACTTTCATTCCGCTACGGTAAAAGTTTATTTTTCTAGACTAACAAGTATGTGACGATAAATTATCACATTTATCGTTCACAGATATAACACGTCAGTGATAAGATAGATCTATGTCGAAACAAAATAAAATTCAATGAAATAATATATGAATTGAAGTACACATTGCAATATGTCGCATATTTGAGATAAAAATTGTGGAAGTAAATACTCCCAATGCAGCGTGATAATAAATACAAACTTAATTGTATCAGTCACTCGATAAATTTATCATACTGTTTTATCTTATCTTTTTACATATTATTTTGTTATCAACTAATTTTAAAAAGGTGCATATACTAAGTACATTTTAATAAGTCATTTTTCACTTAATCATCTATCAATTTCCGTTTTATTATCGATAGATTATCAATTCTGCATTTGCTAAAAGTTTCGTAAATCGATATAATCGATTGAAATATCTGGTTAAATCAGCATTATACAGGGTGTTTCATAATGTCCGTGCCAACGCTCGTGTGCGGTATATTCGGTAATTTTTCAAAAACTTTTATTTTACTTTTCATTGATTTCATAGTACTTTCAGCAAAATATTTCCATCGGGGTAATCACGCATTGCGCACGGCTAGATCATGGGCTGTACACTCTAGGAGTGACAGCAACGA